TCTATACTTGGTGATGGTAATATTTATATTGTTCAAGTTAAAAGCTTTTATACGTGAATAAAATACCAAACAGGGATTAGTTATCGTTGAAGAGTGCCAATCTTCGACGTTGCAATCTCTAATTCCGTGCTTAGGTAATTGGATGAACGAATCTGTGTTACATACATCTTGTGCTTTCCAGGCATATAAAAAACATATCTATAAAGTAATATTTTCACATGGGTGGCCCAATTTGGGTGGTGTCTATCACAAGTTTTTCTTAACATCAGATAACATTGAAAAGGATATCTATCATTATCCATCATAATTAGCCGTAACCAATATTTAATACAGCTAACATAATAAATAGAACTCAGTAGGAGTCTTCCATATTCTGCATTTGGAAATCTATATCCCACTCCTAACAAAAAATTGCAAAATTTCCTACGCCTACGTTCAATATTATCTCTATAAGCAAACACCCCAATTTCATAAACATACATTAAAATGGGGCTTAATTTTCTGTCAAATATTTCAAATGCATTATTCAAGGATATGTCAAATTTCCTTATTATTGATTTTCCTGGAAATCGGGCGTTGTTTGCCTATTCTGAAAGTCCATATTAATTTTGGGGTGACCATCAATCCGACATATATTTATAGCTAATTACAGTGTTCAATTGGTTATCATTAAATGACAATTTTTCATATCTGGACAAAGGCCCACCATTTTTATGATTAATAATTTTTGTTTTATCCTCAACAATTTCCATACCCCATTTATCACAATATTGTTGAGGAACATTTAACGTTAGTCTTATATACATGAGAAAATAATACGATCGTCTGCATATAGTAATTCTATGATATTAAACATTTTCTCCGAAATTAAAAAAAACATCTTGAAAACTATCATTCATATACAGAGCCTTCCTTCATAAACAGATAAAATAATATCGGACTCAAAATGCAGCCTTGTTTAACACGTCTAAGACAGGTAAAATATTCTGAAAGCTTTTCCCATGGTTACATAATGCTGTTGTTTTAAAATTAACATACATATTTTAAACAATTTTGTAAAACTTACCATGGATACCATTATTTAGTAATATATACAATAACTTTAGTCCATTTACAAAATCAATCGCCTTTTTAAAATCGATTAAAGCACAATACAGTTTTCCTTTTTTCTTCGTAATATATTTTTGTACTAATGATTGTAATATAAACATAGTATCGATAGTTGAATGATTTGTTTCTACTGCCTCATTATGTTTTGTCTATACCCGGATAATTTTGCTTTTTGAACCACAAACTTCTAAAATGTGTGTCAAACTATTTACGGCATTATCTAGGTCATCATAAATCACATCCACGAGATCGAGAAACAATTATATTTAATGCGAGATTCATCGAAGCTCTCGTAAAATATATCCGCATCTTGTGGGTGCCACCTGTTTTAAATGATTTAGTCGAATGCTCGGTCGAAATGAAATGTTTCTCTTTTTCTTGACGCTCAGAGAACAGTATTCTTTGTTGTTGATTAGCTTCGTTTATATGTGTGGTGACATCTCGCTCCATACCTTATCTTTAAATGCGTTTGTTCTTTCATTTTATAAACATAAAATCTCAATGCAAGAGTGTAAACAGTCGTGTTTGTCCACCGAAACATATTCCATTTTGCGTAGAGGGTGAAATAGCTGTGAAAATAGTATGAATAGACCACAGAAAATCACAATCAAGTGATCGATGAACTAAAACATCTAGTGACACGATAGTGCAATACTGATTTTGCTGACACTAATAAAAACTATATGCTAATTATGAATTACCATAAATAATGATCAGGACTTTCCTGTTGAACATTTGTCAGTCTTCCCTTTATACTTCTCAGGATAGTTCCAGAAGTCATGTAGCCAGTTCAATAGGGGTGTAGAGATGGAGGTGTATATAAGGAGTTGTGGAGAGATGGATATACGTGGAGACGGGGCAAGGTGTAGCGATGGAGATGTATATAAGGAGTTGTGTAAATATGGAGATACGTGGAGACGGGGCAAGGTGTAGAGATGGAGATACGTGGAGACGGGGCAAGGTGTAGAGATGGAGGTGTATATAAGGCGTTGTGAAGAGATGGAGGTGTATATAAGGAGTTGTGGAGAGATGGAGGTGTATATAAGGAGTTGTGGAGAGATAGAGATACGTGGAGACGAGGCAAGGTGTAGAGATGGAGATACGTGGAGACGGGGCAAGGTGTAGAAATGGAGGTGTATATAAGGCGTTGTGAAGAGATGGAGGTGTATATAAGGAGTTGTGGAGAGATAGAGATACGTGGAGACGGGACAAGGTGTAGAGATGGAGTTGTATATAAGGAGTTGTGTAGAGATGGAGGTGTATATAAGGAGTTGTGGAGAGATGGAGGTGTATATAAGGAGCTGTGTAGAGAGGGAGGTGTATATAAGGAGTTGTGTAGAGATGGAGGTGTATATAAGGAGTTGTGGAGAGATGGAGGTGTATATAAGGAGTTGTGTAGAGAGGGAGGTGTATATAAGGAGTTGTGTAGAGATGGAGGTGTATATAAGGAGTTGTGGAGAGATAGAGATACGTGGAGACGGGACAAGGTGTAGAGATGGAGTTGTATATAAGGAGTTGTGTAGAGATGGAGGTGTATATAAGGAGTTGTGGAGAGATGGAGGTGTATATAAGGAGTTGTGTAGAGATGGAGGTGTATATAAGGAGTTGTGGAGAGATGGAGGTGTATATAAGGAGTTGTGTAGAGATGGAGGTTTATATAAGGAGTTGTGGAGAGATGGAGGTGTATATAAGGAGTTGTGTAGAGATGGAGGTGTATATAAGGAGTTGTGGAGAGATGGAGGTGTATATAAGGAGTTGTGTAGAGATGCAGGTGTATATAAGGAGTTGTGTAGAGATGGAGGTGTATATAAGGAGTTGTGTAGAGATGGAGGTGTATATAAGTAGTTGTGTAGAGTGAGGTGTATATAAGGAGTTGTGTAGAGATGGAGGTGTATATAAGGAGTTGTGTAGAGAGGGAGATACGTGGAGACGGGGCAAGGTGTAGAGATGGGTTGTGTGTAAAGATTGAGGGGTTTACAGATGGAGTTTGTGTAGAGAGTAAACCTTCAAATGTTCGAGTGAATTATTGCGGGGCAAACAAACAGCTTGAGCATATTTTGTTTCAAAGCCTGTTGTCAGTGATTGACAACCCACTCAAAACACTGGACTCAACCCACGCCGCTTCACTCAATATACTTGCTAACACCAAAGAGTTCGCGTTTTATTTAGTCATGGCAGAATGTAGATGAACATACTGTGTTTTCAAAGTATTTATTCAATGCTAAATTTAACATTTGAAACCTCAAGTTGCGCGTTCGGTTCCAAATTCAATTTAGCGCGGTTAAATCTACAGGTAATTAACCTAGCTCTACATTGAAAACAAAGTATGTTTATTTCCTAATTATAAGTGTTGTTGCTGCTTGATGAGGTGCCTCACATCTGCTACTGCCATAACTAGTTTTTCACTCACAGTTTACAACAGGTGCCTGGTGTTCCTCCATCATACAGTTTGGAAATGTTTCTTACATTCATTTTTGATAACATTGAAGGCCAATATCACTCAGTGATATAAGAATTAATGTTAGGAACTTGAGGAAGCAGTATCCATGATCTCAAGATCGATGTCTTGATTGCTTCAATAAATGTGTGACCTCCATATAGGTTTAAGGTCACAGGACGTCACATAATGAAACTTTGCTCAAAACACAAGAAATTTGGATTTCATTCTTTTCAGTTTGAATTAGACAAAACTTGACACATAGTGTGATGAAGAGTTTATTGTGACACCGAGCATAAATATTTACCATTTTCGTGAATATAAAAATCACGGTTATGATACTGACAGACCAAGGGTCATAGTCGGGGAGAAACAGGGATTCGAAACAGATCAGGGACGCAACCCTGCACAACGAGATAGGAGACTATACTCTCTTGCACTCGGTATAGGAAGAATAAGCGGGAAATGCAGGAAAAAGATCATTATTTACAAACGCCCACGGCACACAATTGTGAACAGCATGGTAATATAAAATAAATTTGCATAAAAATTTAAGAAATTAAAATGAGAACATTATAAGTGTAACATATTTATTTGTTTGAGGATTGACTGTGATTTATTTGGGTTCATTGAGGTATGGATCGAAAAACCGACGTGCAAACTATGAATCCGCGTAGCTAATCAGAATCAGCTCATCAGAATGCACGAATTACAATGAACACAACGACAATTTATTTATATAAACATGACATTAGGCCTGTTTACAAATCAAGAAATTGAGCTATATTTAAATAAATTATCAACTCAAATAATCAACAGTTTATATAATATAACGTTATCCACATGCTCGTAAGTGCAATATAAAACATGCTGTCTAGATCTGCGATCAAATAATTGAAAACTTGCAGGTCTGTTTGTTCGTTACAACTATATGATGGTCTTCTGTATACAATCGAATCTGGACCATGCAAACCAATTAGGATCTACGGCATTGGGACACGATGACATGCATCGACCAAGTCAGCAAGCCAAGTCCCGAAAGTTGCCTCTTACGACCAGCATTGGTTGATGAAGACCAATTCTAACCCGGACCTTCTCGGGGAAATTTTATGTGGGGGTTGTAGCGAAGTGGTTAAAGCGTTGACTCATCACGCCGAAGGCCGGGGTACGTCTCCTCCCATGAGTATTTTGTGTAAAGCCCATTTCTTTTGTCAACTGTGATGTTGCTAGAATATTGCTAAAAGTGGCTGAAAACCATACTCACTCTTTTATGTAACTTTGCATTTACCAATGACTAATCTACTGAGGCTTTTGTCATGGAAAAACTAATACATACTGTTCCTGTATATAGTCTTACGATATCTTCTGAAGAAATTTCATTGAGTAGGCGCTATTTAGGATATAATGTGCGTTATCTTATCTGTATACAGATGTTTCCATACACAGTCCAGGCAGGTAATGTATAGAGTGTAGATGGTCGGGTAACATTCACCTGAAGACACACACGATGTTGGACCGTGTTTTGCTGGCAGTGCTCGGACTGTCCTATTGCCTGCTTCTGGTGGGGAGTGCGGCGGAAATGTTCAAAGACCCTGGTTTCGAGAGTCCCGACATCCAGTCTAGTTGGACAGCCAGAGGATGTCAGATGCGTTCATCCACTGATCATGTGGAGGGAAAGCACTCGGTGGAAATCTCATCACGGTAAGAGTTCGAATCCAAAATTCCCTGTGATTATGTGTCGAGGTTTGTCAGCACCGTACCCGTGCTCGTGAATTTCCTCAAAGTGATAAACATCTACATCACTGTCTTTCCAAATTAAGCTGAAACGCAGAAACAGAAATATTGTTCAGAGCGGCGTTACGCCAACCTCACTCACTCACTCACTCACATACATCCATGTTAATGTGTTGTACGCAGAACTGCTTCATGGGCGGGGCCTGGACAGATGGCTTCCCTCCACGTCAACACCCGTTACTTCGTCCAGGCCCGTGTCAAACAGCTGAACGATGTGACTGGAAAGATATTTCAGAAGTTCGCCATTTTAATGGACATTCAGCTTCATAATGGTAACCTAAAATAACAAAATGTCTTCACATAGATCAGTGTTGTAAAGTCGTCATTTTCGTCAACAACCGAAGTCTTCATTGAATAAAAAAAACAAATATTAATCTGCCTGTCCCACACGAGAAACTTTAGCGGAGTAAAATGGCAGTGCTATACCTTACCTGAATATATATGTACTCGAGGTAATAGACTAGTACATTCTAAACATGTATTGACGTTGCACCAATGTCGAAGCAATGACCCCGGATGATAGCCAATGCTTTTCACAGTTCCCTCACATCTACCCTGCTGGACATATTTGCTTGGGATGACAATTGTCTCTGGGGATAGAACATAGTAATGGCCAGAGGACGACACTGATCTTGTTGCTACGTTACGCTCCTTGGCCGTGCCAGGATCCGCTGATTTTGGGTTGGAAGCCCACATTCGCCTGTATGATGCTTGATTTGTCATCATAGTACCCTATGGCTTCGCCCGATTATTGCTCTGTTATTGTCGTGATAGAACTGAAATTATGTTTGTTTATGGCATTAAAGCCAACTTTGTAGGCACTGAGTAGACTCTGTTTATCCTAGGTTCCCACAGCTACGTGGACGTGGTGGAGAACAAAGCCATGTACAGCCAAAAGGGATGGACCTCCATCTCGGGCTACTTCATGTTCCAGGAGACAGGTTTGTTTGTTTGTTGATTGGTTGGTTGGTTAGAGCCAAGCCCAGCAATATTCTATTTATATGACTGCGGTCTGTCAATAATCGAGTCCGGGACAGACAAAAAGTGATTGATATTGTGAACAACGATCTATGCCGTGAAGGTACGGTGACACGCTATCAAACAACACATTGATCCCGTCGATCCATTTGGTCACTTAGTATAGGTTGCTGGGGACCTGTTCTACTCCTGAAGCCCCACGGGGCCCAGAAAAAGCGCAACACGCTTGATGGAAATGCAATATTGTCACGAATTGTAAGATTTACGTTGACTGTGCGTTATAAGGGTGATAGCAATATAGAGACTGTTCAGTCTCCGGTTCAGTACAAAGCCGAAGCAACGCACTGCCATAGTCGGACGCTTACACCTTTTGTTAATTAAGATTATTCTTTATTTATTTTGTGTAATATATAGTACTCAGATGCATTGGTAACTGTACCGATGTTCCTGGTTCAGATCACACGACCATAGAACTGAGAGTGTCCGGGCCAGACAAAACCGTCAATTACCGAGTGGATGACATGTCACTGACGGAAATACCCGAGGACAAGAACTGGAAGTCTGAGGCCGACAAGAGGATTGATCAGCTCAGGAAGAACAACATACACTTTAGGTATGGAATCCTGTTTGTCAAATAGTTTTGCACATGGTCATTTGTATATAATTGTTCGAAGTAAAGGATGAACTGTACTTCAAATCCTCTACAGTATTGCCGAGTAGTGAAATGAATTGCTGTTATAAAACTCAAGTATTCAACAGGATTGTTTTTTAAATTCTAAAAAGTATGTTTAATGAGGTGTGATGAAACTCCGTCTTTGGCGACATTTGTTCTATATTTGCACGTGGCTCCTGACCCCATGAGTTCAGATCCCAATCACACGTGTCTCCTCATTACATGAGTTCAGATCCGAATCAGACACGTGTCTCCTCATTACATGAGTTCAGATCCCAATCACACACGTGTCTCCTCATCACATGAGTTCAGATCCCAATCACACACGTGTCTCCTCATTACATGAGTTCAGATCCCAAACACACATGTGTCTCCTCATTACATGAGTTCAGATCCCAATCACACACGTGTCTCCTCATTACATGAGTTCAGATCCCAAACACACATGTGTCTCCTCTTTACATGAGTTCAGATCTCAAACACACATGTGTCTCCTCATTACATGAGTTTAGATCCCAATCACACACGTGTCTCCTCATCACATGAGTTCAGATCCCAAACACACGTGTGTCTCCTCATTACATGAGTTTAGATCCCAATCACACACGTGTCTCCTCATTATATGAGTTCAGATCCCAATCACACACGTGTCTCCTCATCACATGAGTTCAGATCACAATCACACACGTGTCTCCTCATCACATGCGTTCAGATCACAATCCTACACGTAGACACATGCTTTCAGATCACAATCCTACACGTGAATACACCTCTTTCCATACTTATCAGAAATCTATTGCACGTTTCCGACTGTCATGAGCTTGTGTTCATGAACACTATCAGATAGTGATAAACGCAGGTACAGTTCTGTTTATGGTTTATCGCCACATATTCCAGCTTCATGACGACAGACTGTAAATAATCGGGCCTGGACCAGACAATCCAGTGACTGATATTGTGAGAAATGATCCACGCCGAAGGTGAACGATGACACGCAATCAACCAAGTCACAGAGCCTGAGCACCCGAGCCATTTGTTCGCCTCTCACGATCAGCACAGGTTGCTGGGGACCAATTCTAACCCGGAATCCACACAGGGGTTCCAAGAATAACACTATATAGCCATAAGACATCATACCACATATTGTAATCACATCATCTTGATGGAACATCATTTTCGCCTTTGTTAAGGGTACTTTGTGTACGTGTGTCAAAACGTTTGGGGGCATTGGGGTAGCCTTGTGGTTAATGCGCTGCTTCGTCACACCGAAGGCACAGGTACAATACAAGAACCCAATTTCTGTTTGTATTGGAAGATTATTGCGATACTTCCCGTAAAACCAGACTCACTTATCCAAAATGTTTGGTATTTCTTTCAGCGTAAAACAATTCAACAGCATTTCAATGACGCCATTTCGGACATGTCTGTTACAGCGTCCATGCTCCGCCACATGTATCCACCGCTGACCTTGACATTCAGGTAAATGGACATGGCGATACACCCATAGGGGCACATATAGAGAATCTCACATAGGTGGGTTTTGTTATATCAAATATATCAACACGAGTCGATAAGTTCATAACTCCGAGGCTTTATAACTTTTTTCTGTTTGTAAACAATAATAACCAGTGCATTGAGTGTAAACAGTACACCTAACCAGCAGAAAGGTGATATCATTTGGTTGTGACGTCGCAATGGCTTGCAAAGCATTGTGATGCAATCCATTCTGGTGATATCTCCTCGGAGAATAAACTGACGATATCTCCTTTGGAAACTAGTTTTGGATCATAAAAGATCCGCTTCGGGTAGACACAAAGTAAATATAGCGCGATACGGGTATCATACTTGTGTTTTGGATATTGTGTTTGCAGTGTTTCTGCGACTGTTTTCAGCCCGTTAATGTTTTGTTTACGGTTTTAATTTTTCGGTCAATTCCTATTTCAAGTTAATACTTTCTTTTGCCCGACAGTTGTGTCCACTTTTGAGTGGTCAGAACCACATATTAACTTGTGCAAGAACATTTATATAATCTCATACAAAGGTGGACTTGGTGAAACACAGCTTCCCATTCGGATCCCAGACGCGATATCATGAGATGTTTACATACCCGCACTACGACGACTTGTTCTACTACATGTTCAACTGGGCCACCGAGAACGACTACTACTGGTTCCAGAATCATCAACCACGGGTAATCCTTCCAACCACGTCCTTACTTGAGAACCATGTGGGGATTCCGGTTTAGGATAGGTGCCTATGTCTATCGGAAGAGTTGAATTAAGAGGCTGACCAGGCTGAATACCTCGGTTGATTGTGTCATTGTACCCAGTATACTTGGATCGTTGCTTCTATTATCAATCACTGGTTTGTCTGGTCCAGACTCGATTATTTGCAGGTCATCATTATTCAAGTCTTTAAAAGGCATTTTGAAGTGATACACATACGGGGGAGACTTTATTGATGTCAACTTCTTTATTATGAGGAACACAACATTTCAGAGTATATGCTTACTCCTTCATCAGGTGAATAAATATATTATTAATATGTTGTTGTTGCTTTAAGTGTTTAAGAGGTCGTCTTCTGCCTTAGCAATTTCGGCTGACCTGTACCTCTTTGGGACTCATGTGTGTGAGTAGGGTACACATATCACTTGCGAATTTGGTATTCACAGAATTTTTGTTTTTGTATTGATATGATTTCTATTTTCGTATATTGATATCACCAAGTCTTCATTTTTATCTTTGGCTGCTCTGTATACACTTTCGAGTAGCTGTCCATCACTCATAAATAGTGTTAGTTTGGCCTTCGCTATTGCATCTCTTGGCTTTAGGAGATCTACGATAGATGGCGGATGTAACTGCAATTCTTGTTTTAACCGAGCTCGGGGTGGGACGTGGTCTTGACATTTCAGTAACAAGTGAGCAATGCATTCAGGTTAATTGCAAGATGGGCATACCTTGTCATAGTGCTTTTTGTGACCGAATCTGAGGCGTGAGATTGCAATTTCAACTGTCCTTTCATTGGAGTATAAGTATGGCTTTTGGTGGATCGGTTAAATTTTGTATAGCCATCTGCCGATCTTACTTGCGTACCATTGGGCTTGCCATCTTTGGGCTATGGAGGCTTTGATTTTGCTTTTTATCTCTAGTTCAGGGAATAGGCTGTATCCCTGCTTTGTCTAGAGCTAGCTTCGCCAGTGTGTCTGCGTTTTCATTTCCATGAACATCTATGTGAGAGGGGATCCAACACAGCTCCACCTGGTCCGATAGTTTTGTGTAGTCGTATCGAATATTATTGACTGTGCACTGATAGTTATGGACAAACGGAAGTCAGGAGTAAATTATCACTGCTAGGTAATTCCAGTTGTCCATAACTATCAGCGCTAATTACTGTAAAGTGTTGGCTTCTATTGTCTATTGCTCATCGCCAATCAGCGGCAGTTATCTGTTGGCCTCCCGTGTTAAGTTTCCACCTTTTGTTATCTTATCACTTTTGATGTTCTTACATGTACATATACATGCTCTCTGCCTTATATCATTCATTCACCTGATGAAAGAGTAAGCATATACGTTGTGTTCCTCATCATAAAGAAGTTGACATCCTTAAATTCTCTTCTTCATCATTATACAGCTGAAATATTGATGGGTGCGGCGCCAGACAAGAAAAATCCAACCTACGATAACCTCAAGTCAAGTCTGTATTTTGCTGTTCTTGTTGTTGAATGTATATTGTCCTTTCACTTGCTATATTCAATTGTTCTATGAAAAGTAAAGTGCAGACCAGGGTTAATTTTATGTTGTCAAAAGCTTGAATCTAAAATCAAGAGCATATCTTTAACAGACTAACGGCAGTAGTGCGACTGTATAGAAACATGGACCTGTATGACTGAACGATCCTACATCTGTGACTATCGTAACTCTCACAACCCATTCATAGAAGACGTAGCACTTCCGTCACGGCCTTGAACCAAGACAATGCAAGGAGTGCAATTACTGCCTACAACGTTGAGGATAACTCAGGTGCCATACACTCAGTAATATTACTCCAGGTTCAGCACATGCCACGGAGACAGGGGATGATTGCTTGGGGGTGTGCACCTCATTTCAGTAATACCCCAGTACATTATAGACGTTTGCCACTTTGGGCATTGTACAGCCACCCAAGGGTCATAATCAGGGCCAAGTGAGAACATTCTGCACTTCTGTATTTCTAGCACGACCCTGACTACGGGAATGTTACAAAAGCACTGAATCTACTTCACCAGCATGGGTAGGTCTATTCGGGTGTGATCTAAGGGGGGGGGGGGGGGGGGGGGGGAATAATTAAATGACACTCGTATTAATGGTGTGAGAAGTATTATTTACATGTACATGTATTTCTGTTAGGCTAGGCATCTTGGGATGCATGTTTCATGCATTGATAACATGTGTAAGTTACAGTATAAGAAGGGTAGATATTTTTCTCAATTGCGTGAAGTGTTGACAAACAACATGAATCTACATATCATAGGACACATTTCAGAGATTCAGCTGCCAATTACCATTTCGTATGATGAAGCGTCCCCAGCAGAATTTTTACACGTTTTATGAAATGTTCTGTTCAGGATTCATTAATGCGTTTGTGTGTACCTGATTTATGATAAATGCGATTGATACCTATTTAATGGTGCCGTGCATGTTTGTTTCATCATAACTATTGAGTTCAATTGAGTATATGAATGGTTTGGCTGTCTTTCCATTATTTTGTTATTTCATGCACGTGTTCTAAATTCACAATGCATTCCAAACCCTGTCGATATGCTTTAAAAGTCCTCCTATTGCACTTGCGGCACATCTTCTATCATCTTTCCTATCTTAATTTTGTGTATTTATTTTGCCTTGATATTAGAATATCTATACGAGGTCACAACATATTCTGGGGTAACGCTCGTCGAACACCAGCGTGGGTGCAGGGTCTGAGTCCCGACCAGGTCAAGCAGGCAGTGGATGAAAGGATACAGTACATCGTCAAGGACACCAAGGGGAAGTAAGTCACAAATTAGTGAGTAAACATGGTGAGCTTTAAAACAAAATTCCTGCTCAGAAGCCTTCATTTGTTCTGCGAAAAACCAATCCTATCTCCTTTACCTTGATGTTAATCAAACAGGTTGCAACATTGGGATGTCAACAACGAGCATCTTTACGGGCACTGGTTCGAGGAACACACTGGAGACAGATTCTTCACTCACAAGATCTTCGCCAAGTTGCACCAGGCAGATCCAAGTGTCAAGCTCTTCCTCAATGATGCCAATGTTGTGGCGAGAGGCACATTGACATCAGTGAGTACAAAAAACGGGGTTATTCTAGACGGGTAATTTCCATGATCGTTACAATAATAACTGTGTTTTGAAAACCTAATTTAAGTGGAAACACTTTGTCTCTGGCATGGTGGTTGTTGGGTCATTGGTTTTTGAGTTATAAACTTATTATGTAATCAGTCTGGAAAATAGTGATATTGTTATGGTTCTGTGAGTTACAACTGTTCCGGTGATAATTATCTCATCAGGCATACGTGGACCAGGCGAAGGAGTTCAAATCGGCCAATGTCGGTCTGTATGGACTGGGTGTCGAGAGCCACTTTACACCCTACAAGGCCCCTGATCCAACACTTATCAAGGTAATAAGACAATCAAGAATAACTTACAGACACTTGCACACTACATGGACCTTCAACGCATGTCCAGGTAGGCAGGTCAGTCAGTCGCTTCATTTCATACAGTATTTCTGAGTCAATACTTATCAATAAAACAGCAACTAACATCATCACTTTCGGTATGCATGTGAAAATGAAATGCTTTTTTTAAAGATTTGATGGCAGAAAAACAAGATCGGCAATATATGATGTATTTGAATAAAACCTCGGTAGTCATGTTAATGACATGAACAACACATCGAATTACAACATTCCTTCTAATTTAACATGTCTTCAACTAATACTGTAAGCACAAGATATGGGTTAGAATTGGTCTGCAGCCACTCATGCTTCTCATAAGAGGCGAGTGTGTGATCGGGTGTCAGGCTCGCTGCTCATGATGTCAATGACTTGCTTGTCTGATCCAGACTCGAGTATTTCCAGACCGCCGGCATATAGCCACCATGTACTGCGGTGTTAAACAACAAGCAAATAAATAAAGACACAAATGTTAGTAAATATAAGCAAGTTATCAGAGTTTGTTTTAATCCTGTTGACTCACAATCCCCGGGACAGAAAGTGGTGTTATATATAATGGCAGCAATAATTATATACTTCTCAAAAGAAACAACACCCAAGTTTTTCATATGACTAGAGTTCAGTCAGTCATGGATGATAGTATATATTTGTTAAGGTGGATGACATATATATTTTATCATTTAATTGTTAATTTATTCACGCTTGTGCTTCATTTGATTTCACCACTTCAACGAGTTTGGTACATATTTCTGAACAATATTTCAGAGACGTCTGGACATGTTGGCCACAACTGGCCTGCCTCTGTGGGTCACCGAGATGGACGTTGTGGCCAGTGACGAAAATACCCGAGCTGACTGGTATGACACGGCATTGCGCATTGTGTTCAGTCACCCGGATGTGGAGGGCATCATACTCTGGGGATTCTGGGATGAACATCACTGGAGAGGCCCGGATGCAGCTCTTGTTAATGGACCCCAGTTCCATGTGAGTTTTATTATACAACTGAATTTGTTTATGACTGCTATTTCTTTGATGTGTGAACATGGATTATATAACTAAGAAAATAAACATACTCAGTACGTGGTGGTAGGTAACCTGTAGATTTAACCTTGTAAATTTGAATTTGGAAGCAGCGTCAGCGTGGTCAGAATCGAGTATTTTCCAATTTCCTGGTGGAATGTAGAATAAACATGCATGGTTTAGATTAACGCAGCAGGAAAGAGATACATCGACCTCCTCTACAAAGAATGGAGTACGCATGTCACGCACAGGGTGTCATCAGGGACACAGTTTAACGTCAGAGGATTCCACGGAAACTACAGGGTGGTCGTCAAATACCATGGCAACCCGGTGATGCAGCAGACTTTTACCCTCGGGAACCAAGACAAACAAGTTAGCATCCAGATCACCAACGTCAACCGTGAGTTCTGTTACATTCTACTATTATGAATCAATCGCACAATACATATAATATACACTGGATGAAATTCCCCACGGTATGATCAATAACCATGGCAAACCCGGTGGTGTAGTAGGCCGTTTGTTTTAGAGAGCAGAATATTAATGAAATTTAAAAGAATTATTTACAAAAAATAATTATATTTTTCAAAAATAAACCTGAGTTTTGTTGCCCTGCTTTTGTATTTGCCAAATGCATGTATTTGTATCTTTTTTTGACATTGACTAACATGATACAATGAATAACCTATTTGATACCTGGCCAGGCTTTCGGTTAACGTCAGATTTGGTTCTTTCACAGATATCATCAATATCCCCACGGCGACATCCCCGCTTGATTACCATCATTCAGTACCCCATCCTGTGACACACATCAACGAACGAACAATTGGTCACATGACTTCCGGCTCTTCCAATCAGCTTAAATGTTTAACCAGATACTCAGGATTTTCTGAAGTCGCAGATGACAAGAAGGCGGAAGTAGGATGTCCTTCCGGGTACGTCCTGACTGGATGCTCAGGAAAGGTGAAGGTGAGTAACAGCCAGATTACACGGAGTTTGATTCCTTGCACAACCCCAAGTTATAGCTAAAGCATGAGTGTATTCATTCCACTCCCCATCTAGCATTCACCTGCATTCACCTGATCATAATGTTAACTTATTAAGGTATTACATCTCCGAGTTGCTTAAGCAGAGAGTTCACGCAACTATTTCTTTTTTAAGGACAATCGTGATCAAACCGATGGGGAGAAAATATCCTTCCACACTGGAGCCACATGTGGGGCCTATGAAGGAGGGTCACCTACGGCACGTGAGTCAAGCTGCAAATTATCGCACATCATTCTGACGTGAAGAAGTATAGACATTTCTGATACCTCTTTATAGTAAACATGCTTTCAAAAATGTTTAAAACGCCTGAAACATGTGCTATTATGAACATCACTCACACACTCAATCATATTTTTATTCAATGCCAAATCGACTCTTGCGACAAGCTTGAGGTAATGCAGTCTCATTTAAATCAGATCTAGGTTCTAAGATCTGAGGACATTCCATTACGGGTCACGTCAGAACGACCTTTCGCGAACTTTGACCGACCACTGAAATGACTAACAAGAAGTCGACATCAGCCAATTAGAAAGCAGCTTTGTCATGCTTTACGCCACTCGTTTCAACTTGGCGACTTTCATTTCACACTACGCTTGAAAAATATGTTGACACAGTTCTCGATTAAAATTTTCAAAACTAAACAAACGAACATTCCGAAATGTCTTATATATGGTTGAGATTGTATGGCAGTGCTTCCCACGTGCTGTGCAACGCCTCCTCCGTTCAAATGTATATGGCACGGCAGCGAGAGGTAGACGATAATTTTGACGGAATCAGTCGTACGGGCCGTAACTGTCGTTCGGAATACCCGTGTTAACGTTTCGAGGTTGCATGATTAGAAAACACATTCCGACTGTCACTTTCATGATCTGATAAGTAACGCTTTGATTGGTCGGATGAAAGGTCGTTCTGACGTGACCCGTTATGGGATGTCCTCAGATGTTTGTTTAGCGATAGCGAGAACTAAGATCTGATTTTAATGATATTGGAGGTAATGGAGATCGATCTTTGGTGACCATGTCTCAACTGGGATGAATTTTGAGAAGTAAAAGATATTTCATTCAAGTGATTTTCTGTCAACTATATCTACCATACGAACGGATCTCACAATTCTAACATTGATAAAAAAAATCATCCCACCCGATCTCGTTTCAGTTGGCTATGACTCAACTGTTTGTCGTCTCTCTGGGTACGTTGCTTGTCTCTCTCACAGCTCTCCAGGCGGTGGCAAGATGTTGCATGTTGACGGGTCTCAAGTGTGACTACCGGACGTCCGGCCCTTCACTGGATGTCCTCGGCCAGAGAATTGAGACTAGGTGTCAGAACAACATGTATGCCACTGGTAAGACAGAGCTTGTCTCAATATCCTATGAAATAGAAGTACATAGGTGTTTTGGGTAACTTTGGTAAGTACTCCACCCATGAATATATAGAACTCTTACGATTCTCTACAAAATGACGTTTCCACTCTAATCCTTCAAATTCATGCATTCAGGATTCACTTATAATCCAATAAATCCTGAGGCTGCAGCAAAATGCAAACAGACAGGAGTAGTTCATGGTCTTAATAGAAGGGGCGCAGGCAGAAGAAGGAGTTGGCTGTCAATTCGCAGTAGGGAAACATATTGTTAAACAAAAGGCTACATCAATGGCCACAATGCGGGACACTGGGGTGACGTCTCGAGTGATAAATGGCGTTACCCCCAATTATCGGTGTCTAAGTTTCAAGTGTTAGTGTTAGAGTTTACATAAACAATCCCGAATGTCGTACATACAGCAAGAATCCAGAGGATGTATGTTGTCATCTTTGACGTGTGAGTCTTACTTTAATAAGGAATAGAGACAACAATCACCGACTCAAACTCATTTAATATGGCCAGGAATATCAGCAACATTTACACCTCAAGAGCACTTTAAAGTGTCTGTACCTCTTCCATATCAGGTTGTGCTGCGCACACCTTCTTCCGGTTATCTGACGGAACCTTCCCATCAGCACATTCCTGTATTGCTCAGAATTTTGAAAACAAAGGAGGTAAGTATGTTAAAATTGTAATATAATATATAGCATTTATGAATAAGCTGACCAATCTGGTCGTAAGCCTCATGGACGTTATATCAATTTTTCACATAGATGTACACATTCTACATTGGATGGAACTGATCCCTCCAATCTCTTCCACATACTACACTGCAGGGTTGCAGTCTTCGGCAGTGTGTTGCTCGGCTCCCCATCTCACATGCCGCGTGAAGGTCTCCCCTCCCTCGGGTCACAAGTTGGGGGACACAACGTCTGTGTCATGTGACTCTGGCTGGCACCTCGTGGGATGTTCAGCCTACTCAGAGGATGCTAAACTGAGTGGGGCCTATATAAGAGGTACACGGCATTGCACTACATTTCAGTAACTTTAAAACCTTCGAAACCTCCTCCAACAAAGCGTTTTATTCCAAAAATCCCTACATTGTTGTGAGCTTTCTATAACGTTTAGAAACTGAGAAACATTTGTGACATATAGGTTTGATAATGATGTGGGTTGATTGCTAACTTCATAAAATTACTTGTATGATAATTGTATTATGGGTCCATGACCTTTCACTGAATGCACATAAGCTAATTTACCGAAAAACATTCACTGATGACGCACCAAAAATATATTTATAAATATATTGGAACATGTATTTGAATGTTCCTTAATAATATTACATAAATTTAATGCAGAAATATACTTAAAAGAATATAAATAATCTATCACATTAATATCACAAATACTCCCGTTTTGAACTGTAGACTTAGGAGTGTGTAACATTGTTGGTGGTACCACTGACTTGTAATGTAGACAGTCCAAGGTAATGTTCTTGCAGGTAACCCGGAACTGTGTGAGGCAGTGAATGGTGCCGAGAGACTGTACGGGGAGATGGGGGCCGAAGCCTACGCCACCTGCTGCCGCACACAGTTATGAGAATAAAACTCACAAACCTCACTGTGTTTCATTTTGTATGGAAATCATCATGTACTGAAGACAATTTGGTCAATCGCGTTAACGCGTTAACAGCAGAACTACCATGGATGCAACCAATATAATATTAAACATTTCATGGTTCCAATACCTGCGTAAGTTAGTATCTCTATAACAAGTAACGGAGTCACAACAAAATGGAACTGACAAACTCAAGACCACTACACATTGTGCTACACATCATCTACATTTTCCTAAGTTAAGCTACGTTAGGCTACAGTAAAGTACAGTAGCTAGTACATTCAGGTACGTTGAACTATATTTAGAAGCGCTACATTACGTTAAACTAGAGTAAACAACGCCCATTTCGCGCAAAGTACAGGGTATATAAAGAGACATGTGGTTTTCATCATTCTTTCACTTTTGAATTCCTGACAAAGCACATATATATTTCATTCCTTTCGTCCTTTTGGTCTTAGTTGGGGTTAGCTTAACTAAAGTCTAGCTATGAGGAAAACAAGAAACAGGAGAGGTCAAACCCCAGCTTCTGATATTGCTGAGGTTACTGAGGTTCATGAGAATCCTGAGGTTCCTGATGTTTCAGGGGTTGCTGAGGATCCGATCTATGGAGACTTGCAGGATATTGATGAAGTTGATGCCACTCCCCCAGATCCAGAAAGCTCTCAATGTCCAGGAAGAGGCAGCTGCTCCAAGAAAGTCAGCATCCAGGAGATCTGGCCTAAAGCTCAAAGATGATCAATTAACAAAATGACTAATTTGTTTTTGAATATATTCTAGGTACCATGCATCTGGTCCCCATCTGAAGGCGAGACTTTGCTTCTTAGACCAACACGTGTATAGGGTACCATTGACCCATGTTTTTAAAAAAAATAAATAGAATTCAATGCCACAAATATTTTATATGATTAACATCTTGTCTTGTTCTTCTACTTGCAGCTCATTGCCCAACTGAAGGAGTGCCACCCTGAGAGATGTCGAGAGTCTGCTGCAGCAGAAGGAAAAGCTCCTAACTCAGAGTCAGATACAGAGGATCTTCCAGTGTGTTGTAAAGAGCCTCAACCTATCTCCACAGCTCAATCAAGAAAAAGACGTAAGACCTCCGAGACTGCAATGGTCATCCTAAAGATTGAGGAAAGGTTTGACACAACCCAGAGGCAGCAGGAATAGCTGTTGCAAATGGTAAGAACCCGAATTTAAGAACACGTATTATAAGAGACAATTATTGAAATGACATATCATCGTGATATTGATTTTGTTATTTGAATTTCCTCTAACTCTAACTGTAAATTTCGACATGGACTTACAGTACTTAACTGTTTACGACTGATTGAAATATGATTGATGATTATAAATTGATTTTTATATGAAAGATAAAATCAAAATGTGATTTTTCAACCACACACCATCCCTCCGGTCACATCATCCACCAGTTGGAACTACCAGATGTTTTCAAATATTGCGGTTTCATAGCAGCAACAGTGCCCACCCTGGCAGCATGTTTATCAACAACAGCAGCCGCATCAGGGACAGTCAGAGAGGTCTTAAAGTCTCTACAGGACTTCCTTGAATTCTAGAGTGAAGGTTTTGAGGAATGGATTTACGTTTGTTCCTGGTTGGCAACCACTGTCACCACATCCTGCCTGGAGGATCAAAGATTATTGATGCTTCCCTGTATTTTTATTTTGTATGATTGGCGGACTTGTGCCCCTACTAAGATGTAGTTTACCGTAGTTGTTCGTAGATATTTTATGCCTTGATAACTACGATGTTCGTTACGTTTGGCTACAGTAGACTATGGTTATAACTTGGGCAAGCTACATCTAACTACATTAAACTAAGTTACCACTACGTTAACAAAAATGTCAGCTCACGTAGCTAAGTACGTTTTTTCACGTAAATGACTACGTTATGAACACATATAGCCACGGACAGCTACGATGAACCACGTACGGATACGTTACACTATGTAAGAATTTTCCACGCTTAAGTGCGTTATTGAACGCAAGTGTGACTTAGGTTTATAGGACAGTTAGTACGCTGTCGAGCTTTCATCGAAAACCATGATTTTGAGGTATCCATAGCGTCTACATAACGAGTTCACCGTATATGTAACGCATGTCTAACGTGTTAGTGGTGTATCACCGACTTATACAATGTACAAAACTTATGACAGCGTATAAAAGCGTATTGCCAGCGTGTGTCTGGCGTGCACTTGTTCCACGTATGGCCAGCGTATGCCCAGCGTATGAGTAACGTATTACTAGCGCTCAGCGTAGGGGAAAGGTGCCTAAAACGGGCCCCGCGTTAGTATAACTAGGAGTGTACACCCATTCATCCAGTTACCACGAAAAGCGCGAGCGGTCTAGATATGTAAAAGGTGAGAAACGAAACCGTAATTTTGAACTTTTTTATATAATTGCCCGCAAAGGGGTAGAAATCCTAGCGATTTCAGGAACTAATATTTCGGTAAAATATGAATTGTTCAAAAGTGAATTGAGTAACAACAAAGTTTCAATTACGTTCAATTACAATTCATACGTTCCGAAAATTTGTGCATGCACAAAAGTGTGAATGATACAACACTGCTGTGGGTTAGGGTTAGAGTTAGAGTTAGGTTAGGAGTTACGGTTGATGCGCGTGTTGCGGATGTGAAAGAGACAAAACTGCAATGATGTGTGTTGGTCGTTTGTAATGACGCAAGACTGCATTGGTGTGCTCTAGGCAGGTGTAAATGAGACAAGACTGCAGTGATATGTGAATAAGGCAATGAATGAAACGAGACAGTGGTGTTAGCGGGTTTATTGTTGACGATGTACAGCTTTTCATTGTGTCCGGCAGCACGTGGCGTATGCTATCACTTGGTAGTCCCCGTACAGCCTCTCCTGGCCATTCACAGCGATACATTGGTCGTGACCTAGCAACATGGAATAAAAGAGGTGAATAAAGGTAGCGATACTAATGCATTTGCCATTATTGCAGGACAATCTATGAAAACACAATGCGATTGTACACTTATAACTCATGAAGCACCGTAAGGTTCATTTAATGTATGCTCCTCACCCAAGCTTGCTCCTTTCCCTACATGTCTTCGACACATATCACATGGCTCCAGCATCCACTACATGTCTACACAATATACACCACATGTCTCCAGCATCCACTACATGTCTACACAATATACACCACATGTCTCCAGCATCCACTACATGTCTACACAATATACACCACATGGCTCCAGCATCCACTACATGTCTACACAATATACACCACATGGCTCCAGCATCCACTACATGTCTACACAATATACACCACATGTCTCCAGCATCCACTACATGTCTACACAATATACACCACATGGCTCCAGCATCCACTACATGTCTACACAATATACACCACATGGCTCCAGCATCCACTACATGTCTACACAATATACACCACATGTCTCCAGCATCCACTATATGTCTACACAATATACACCACATGTCTCCAGCATCCACTACATGTCTACACAATATACACCACATGTCTCCAGCATCCACTACATGTCTACACAATATACACCACATGTCTCCAGCATCCACTACATGTCTACACAATATACACCACATGTCTCCAGCATCCACTATATGTCTACACAATATACACCACATGTCTCCAGCATCCACTACATGTCTACACAATATACACCACATGTCTCCAGCATCCACTATATGTCTACATAATATATATCACATGTCTCCAGCATCCACTACATGTCTACACAATATACACCACATGTCTCCAGCATCCACTACATGTCTACACAATATACACCACATGTCTCCAGCATCCACTACATGTCTACACAACATACACCACATGTCTCCAGCATCCACTACATGTCTACACAATATACACCACATGTCTCCAGCATCCACTATATGTCTACACAATATACACCACATGTCTCCAGCATCCACTACATGTCTACACAACATACACCACATGTCTACACAATATACACCACATGTCTCCAGCATCCACTACATGTCTACACAATATACACCACATGTCTCCAGCATCCACTACATGTCTACACAATATACACCACATGTCTCCAGCATCCACTACATGTCTACACAATATACACCACATGTCTCCAGCATCCACTACACGTCTACACAATATACACCACATGTCTCCAGCATCCACTACATGTCTACACAACATACACCACATGTCTACACAATATACACCACATGTCTCCAGCATCCACTACATGTCTACACAATATACACCACATGTCTCCAGCATCCACTACATGTCTACACAATATACACCACATGTCTCCAGCATCCACTACATGTCTACACAATATACACCACATGTCTCCAGCATCCACTACATGTCTACACAATATACACCACATGTCTCCAGCATCCACTACATGTCTACACAATATACACCACATGTCTCCAGCATCCACTACATGTCTACACAATATACACCACATGGCTCCAGCATCCACTACATGTCTACACAATATACACCACATGTCTCCAGCATCCACTACATGTCTACACAATATACACCACATGTCTCCAGCATCCACTACATGTCTACACAATATACACCACATGTCTCCAGCATCCACTACATGTCTACACAATATACACCACATGTCTCCAGCATCCACTACATGTCTACACAATATACACCACATGTCTCCAGCATCCGTTACATGTCTACACAATATACACCACATGTCTCCAGCATCCACTACACGTCTACACAATATATACCACATGTCTCCAGCATCCACTACATGTCTACACAATATACACCACATGTCTCCAGCATCCACTACATGTCTACACTATACACACCACATGTCTCCAGCATCCACTACACGTCTACACAATATACACCACATGGCTCCAGCATCCACTACATGTCTACACAATATACACCACATGTCTCCAGCATCCACTATATGTCTACACAATATATACCACATGTCTCCAGCATCCACTACATGTCTACACAATATATACCACATGTCTCCAGCATCCACTACACGTCTACACAATATATACCACATGTCTCCAGCATCCACTACATGTCTACACTATACACACCACATGTCTCCAGCATCCACTACACGTCTACACAATATATACCACATGTCTCCAGCATCCACTACATGTCTACACAATATATACCACATGTCTCCAGCATCCACTACATGTCTACACAACATACACCACATGTCTACACAATATACACCACATGTCTCCAGCATCCACTACATGTCTACACAATATATACCACATGTCTCCAGCATCCACTACATGTCTACACAATATACACCACATGTCTCCAGCATCCACTACATGTCTACACAATATATACCACATGTCTCCAGCATCCACTACATGTCTACACAATATACACCACATGGCTCCAGCATCCACTACATGTCTACACTATACACACCACATGTCTCCAGCATCCACTACACGTCTACACAATATATACCACATGTCTCCAGCATCCACTACATGTCTACACAATATACACCACATGTCTCCAGCATCCACTACATGTCTACACAATATACACCACATGTCTCCAGCATCCACTATATGTCTACACAATATACACCACATGTCTCCAGCATCCACTACATGTCTACACAATATACACCACATGTCTCCAGCATCCACTACATGTCTACACAATATATACCACATGTCTCCAGCATCCACTACATGTCTACACAATATACACCACATGTCTCCAGCATCCACTACATCTCTACACAATATATACCACATGCCTCCGGCATCAACTACATGTCTACACAATACACACCACATGTCTCCAGCATCCACGATATGTCTACACAATATACACCACATGTCTCCAGCATCAACTACATGTCCCCGCTAATATACATGTCCCTGTTATATATTATATATCGCATATATATATATATATATATATATATATATATATATATAGTACATGTCCCCATTGTTGTAATTGTGTTACTTTGTTTCTGTTAAGATTCAGGAGAAGTTCATTTGTGTTTTCAATAATAATTAGTTGTCAGGAATGTATTACTACCTAATATAAACAGTTGTGCTTTTGGCGACAAGTCTAATCTGGAACCTTTTCGGACAGCATAAGTCTAATCCAGCGTGGTATCCTACTTTCTCAAAGGGATTTAGACTATATAAATGGGCAAAGGCATGCCTCTCATCTCACATTGCATGAAGACCAGCGGTTGTGTGAAGATCGTGTGTTCATCTCGAATATCCAGCTTAGGCCTAGTTTGGAACCATGATCACTTTTGCTGCTAGGTGAATATTATTTTCTCTCACTTTATTCATATGGCCATTGGTATCGTATAGTGTTTTATACTGGCATTGTACTTGTCGACAACGTGATGAACGCCTTATGGACATTGACATGCATCCAACTAGCAGAACTCGGGGAGAGGTAACCAATATGTTCAACGTGTCTCAGTCTATGATTTGCAGAATTTGGAACCGTTTTCGGCAGACATAAAACGCGAATAATCGACCTTGCACAAGGCGCCCCAGGTCAACAACGTACAAGCTCTGGATCGATTAATCAGAAACAAGCATTGAAGAAATCTATCCAAAACAGTCAGTCAAATTACTGTTCACTAGCGCCATGCCACCGTACGTACTACATGTTTATGCCTTATACTATATACATCTGCTATACACCGTGAGGATCCGGGTTAGAATAAGTCTTCAGTAACAATGTTAGCTTAAGTGGCGACTAAGGATGTCGTAAGAGGCGACTAAGTGGATCGGCTGGTCAGACTCGCTGACTTGGTTGATGCATGGCATCGAATCCCAATTGCGTGGATCGATGCTCATGATATGAATTGCTGAATTGTCTGGTCCAGACGTACAGCTGGGATATTGCTGAGTGCGGCGTTAAACAACAAACAAACAAAGCAAGTATCTCCTCACCTCCAATGTACGCTCCTGCCAGACCCGCGTCCTCTGAGTAAGAGGTACATCCGAGAAGAGTCCAGCCGTGGTCACATGACACGGATGTTTCGTCCCCCATGGCGTCCCCAGTCGGAGTAGACTTGTTCACCTTGCAGGTCATGTGGGGCGCGGAACAGCAGGCGGCATAAGAGTAGATTCCTTGTTGTCAGGGTGAAGAGGTACACGTACAGACTTGGACTCACATTTCAAGAGTGTGGGAACAGAACGGGGCTTTACAGTTACAGCCTACCGTAATCACCTAATAAATATTCAAAGTGTGTAAATACACATTATGCTATCGTGCTTTAGATAACGTCGATTATCACAATGACTTTTTGATTGATACTGCATAAGACGACGTTCAAATTAAAGTTTACAAAGCAATTCTTGACTTCCCCGCGTACTCACGTCCTTCAGAGTGTTGGTTCTGGGCAAGGCATGAGTGAAGGCTTGCATCGGGGAGGGAGCCGTCAGTGTACTTGTAGGCAGTGTGGCTCGTGCATCCTGGGGATAGTGGACACGGTCATCATAAGATTGTTTGTTTGTTTGTTTGTTTAATTGTTTGTTTGTTTAACTCCGTTCATGCACGAGTATGGTCACCTGTTAAAAGCAAACCTATAGAGGGCATGAGTGGCCTAGTCGGCGAAGGTGCTTATGCCCGGATCTGCTATTCGTGGGTTTGAATCCTATATTCGAACCGATTATGATCCGTTGTGTGTAGGCACCTGTGTAACTGAAATACTGTTCAAAGTGACGTACACCAAAAATCACTCGCCTGAAGCATGCTCGGAGTCATTTGATCAAATCTCACATACAGGAAGCTTGAACATGTTTAGATATCTGATAAAATATTATCTGTGACGTGCGGCTTTTGACATAGACACAGACACGTGCATGCATGGGTACTACATTAACAGACACCTTATTAAATCTTATCTGGGGTGTGCACCTACATTCAGAGACACCTTATTAAATCTATTCTGGAGCGTGCACCTACATTAACAGACACCTTATTTAGGAGATAAACATACTGTGTTTTCAATGTAGAGCTTGGTTACCTGTAGATTTAACCCCGCTAAATTGAATTTGGAACCGAACGCGCAGCGTGAGTTTCAAATGTTAAATTTAGCGCTGTTGGGTGTGCACCTACATTCACAGATACCTTTATAAATCTTATCTGGAGCGTGCACCGACTTTCACAGATACCCTTATAAATCTTATCTGGAGCGTGCACCGACATTCACAGATACCTTATTAAATCTTATCTGGGGCGTAAACCACCATGTACATGGACCTGGCTACATCTAACTTATCCCACGTGCAAGAACACCTAGTCACATCTCACCTGTAGCGTACATGTTGTTGAGACACCTAGTTTCTATCCTCTGATCCAGAACTTGATCTGAAGGGCCTGACATTCTGTAGTCGCATGTGAGACCCGCCAGCTTGCAACAGCGAGCAACGGCCTGGACGGCTGAGTTACAATAAACACAGCTCATTATTCTCGTGTACTACTACCTACTGGAGGCAAATTGCGCCCAACCCTTTAGCAAGTCATAGTCAGATGGAGAACGAAATCGAATGGCGTATTGTCTAATCAGAGATGCGTCCCTTTGCGAGTAAGAACAATATTATCTTGGATTCCAAGAGTCTCGGGGCGGTCGGTTAGCCTAGTGGTTAAAGCGTTCGCTCGTCACTCCGAAGACCCGGGTTCGATTCCCGACATGGGTACAATGTGTAAAACCCATTTCTGGTGTTTCCCGCAGTGAATTTGCTGGAAAATTGCTAAAATCCTAAAATGCTAAACTCATTCACTCACTCACTCCAAGAGTCTCAGACCTAGTGTTTTTTTCATAATTGAATTCTCGCGTTATACTCAACTCATCCAGGCGCTCTTAAAAGCAAGAAAAGATGAGGATGTAATTGCATACAACACACACTTACAAACTCATATATTGTTTTTATGATACATACATGCACTTGTTGAAGCGCCATTAACGCTCCTGCAGGCTGCAACGGAGTGCATAACAATCTCCTCTCCATCTCGATTACTGCGCTGATCCTGCCAGACAGACACGGAGCAGGATGTAGCCAGTACAGCATATCACATGGGATTACATTTTACTTTTCAGATTATTGTCATCAGTAAATTGAAATCCCCTGGAAGATCCGGGTTAGAATTTGTCTTCAGACTTGTCGAAAGTGGCGACAACGGGATCGGGTGGTCAGGCTCGCTGACATCGTATCCCTATTGCGTAGATCTATCCTCATGACGACAATCACTGGATTGTCTGGTCTAGACTCGATTACTGATTTACAGACTGCTGTCATATAGCTGGAATATGACTGAGTGCGGCGTTAAACAACTAAAAAAACAAAAACAAAAAACTTTCTCGGGGGAAGCAGGGTTAGAATATTAGCCAATTTGCCTACGCCTTTTCTAAGAAACGAGTAAAATGAATCGGTGACTTGCAATTGGCGTGAACGTTGCTCATAATCTCAACCAGTAGCTTGTGTGGTTCATACATTTTGCTGACTAGAGGCTCGGCGTTCAGCTCATTTACTCACTCACTCAATGAATGTTGCGTGACCGCCTACCTTGCTTCGACCGGAGCATCCCGTGAGGACATAGCCAGTCGGACACGTGACCTCAGCATACTTGTCGTCTGCTACCTCCGACAGTCCGGAGAATCTGGTGATACACGACAGGTGACTGGAGGAACTGGATGTCACGTGACCGATACTATGTTCTCCTATTTGAACCACGTGATGTTGGGGTGATGGCCGCTGGTAATCCACGGGGGACGCAGTTGTTGCTATGTGGACAGCGCCTAGTTTCATACATCATGCCATCCTTTTAAACGAAACCTTAGCTTGACAGTCATATGTGTAACGTAAATCAACGCTCAAATTGTCAGATAAGACGTTCCAGTAGTTGTATTAAATAATCTATATGTATAAGTATGTATATGTATGCCACACCCGCTCTGATAGTTGTATGCCACAGACGCTTTATCTACTGTGATACTGTATGCCACACCTGTTATATCCGTTGAAACTGCATGCGACACCCGCTATGATACTGTATGCCACAGTCGCTTTATCTACTGTGATATTGTATGCCACACCTGTTATATCCGTTGAAACTGCATGCGACACCCGCTATGATACTGTATGCCACAGTCGCTTTATCTACTGTGATATTGTATGCCACACCTGTTATATCCGTTGAAACTGCATGCGACACCCGCTATGATACTGTATGCCACAGTCGCTTTATCTACTGTGATACTGTTACCACTCCCGCTTTATCTACTGTGATACTGTATGGCTTGATCTACTGTGATACTGTATGGCTTTATCTACTGTGATACTGTATGGCTTTATCTACTGTGATACTGTATAGCTTTATCTACTGTGATACTGTATGCCACACCTGTTATATCCGTTGAAACTGTATGCCACAGCCGCTTTATCTACTGTTATAAAGTGACCATGCCCGTTTTATCTACTATTATACTGTATACCACAACCGCTTTATCTACTGTGATATTGTATACCACAACCGCTTTATCTACTGTTATACTGTATACCAGAACCGCTTTATTTACTCTGATACTGTATACGACACCAGCTTTATCTATTGTGATACTGTATGCCACACCTGTTATATCCGTTGAAACTGTATGCCACACCCGCTATGATCAATACTGTATGCCATAGCCGCTTTATCTTTGGTGATACTGTTACCACATCCGCTTTATTTACTCTGATACTGTATGCCACACCTGCTATGATACTGTTACCACACCCGCTTTATTTACTCTGATACTGTATACGACACCAGCTTTATCTGCTGTGATACTGTATGCTCACCTGTAACGTCAGTGATGTCAACTGTAACGCTTGTGTCTGTTTTACCAAGAACGAATGTCTGCTTTTTTACTGGTGTTCCATGATACTTAACAATGACATCGTAGTCTCCATGGAACCCTCTGATATCGAACTGTGTCCCTGAAGTCAGTCTGTGAATCACGTGGGTACTCCACTCATGGTGTATCAGGTTCAGGTATCGTTTCCCAGCTGCATTTATCTGTTATTGTTTTTCAAAAGAAAAATACATATGATTGTTGGTTTCCAAGACTAAAATATACATGTACTTGTACGTAATCAAGTTTCATGACTCAATATTGACCCCTTCGGAGGGCGGGTACATCTCGAAGATCTAGAGTACAAAGTTCTGAGAGCGGGTATATTATGGTGTTCCAGACAAGGGAATAAAGACCTACGTGGTAGCTGTTGCCGCTGACTAAAGCAGCATCCGGTCCCTTCCAGTGGATGACACTCCAGAAGCCCCAGAAAATGATGCCCTCGACGGCCTTGTGACTGAACAACATGCGCAGTGCGGTGTCGTACCAGTCGGCACGGGTGTTCTCGTCATGGACCACAATATCCATCTCGGTGGTCCAGAGAGGAAGACCCACAGCTCCCAGTTGGTCCAAACGCAACTGGGACAACAGATATTGTCATTACAATCCGGCAGGTATTCCATTAATATTGACTTAATAATTATATTTCTGAAACGGTAGCTTACCTTCATTAAAGTGGGATCTGGTGGCCTATAGGACATGAAGTGACATTCTAGGCCCAATCCATACAGTCCTACATTAGCAGCCTTGAAGCTCTTGGCCAGGGCCAGATAGGCCTATATAACAATCAGATGAAGTAGGCATAACAAATCTCAAACAGTACAAAACACACATTAAACCGTGCACTATGCCTCTTTATTTAACAGTTACATACTACGGTTTTCGGTCACTTTGAAGTAAACTTACTTGTTATCAAAGATAGAAAGTATGACACACGTATTGATGAGTGTCAGAAGTTTTTTTCTCTAGATTAATAAACTACATGAGTTGATACATAAATATAGGATTAACTGTTCTTCCGTGTAAAACACGTTGTCCAGAAGCAAACCTAACAATGTCATTATGGTGTCAATAATGACGTTAGTGGCCTCATGATGCAACATGTCAACAATCATCTCGTATCACGTCAACAATGATATCTGTATTACGTCAACAGTGATATCGGTATCACGTCAACAATTATATATGTATTACGTCAACAGTGATATCTGCATTATTTCAACAGTGATATCTGTATTACTTCAACAGTGATATCTGTATTAATTCAACAATGATATATGTATTACTTCAACAGTGATATCTGTATTATGTCAGCAATGATATCTGCATTACTTCAACAATTATATAATATTATGTATTTCTTTAACAGTGATGTTTGTGTTACGTGAACAATGACACATGTATTACGTCAATAAGCATACTTGTATTACGTCAATAATTATGCTTGTCTTACGTTAACAATGTCAGTATCACGCCAATAATGATATCTGTCTTGCGTCAATAATAATGTCTATATTACGTCAAGAGGTATGCTTGTTTCACGTCAACAATAGTGTCACGGAAACAATGACGTATCTATTACGCCAACAGTAATATCTGCATTACGTCAACAAGATATGCATACCGTCAACTGACTGCATTACGTCAACAATGGTGTTTGTATTACGTTAACAATGCCTTAGGGCTCATGGCAACACTATTGTGTGTGCATATGGATTTACATTAACTCGGTTAACATGAACCACATGGATACTGTGTCTACCGAAGTGGCGACCCCCGAAGACACCACGTGGTCCTCGTTGAGGAACAGTTTGACATTCGGATCTGCTTGGTGGATCTTGGCGAAGATCTTCTTTGTGAAGTCAGGATCCTTGGTTTTCTCTTCGTACCAGTGACCTTGGACCATCTCGTTCATCACATCCCAGTGCTGGACCCTGTTACAGACGGACAGATCGGCGCGTCACTGGATCACGTGAACAACACTACACCAAAGTTATTTACTAAAATGTACACGACATCCCAGCATCCCAGCGTTCACACATGTCAGCCTGCGCATGATTAGTGGATGTTAGGCATGTACTTCTACCTGGGGCAGGCACAAGTTCTGTGGAAAGGACAGCTTGATAGACTCGGCTTACCTCCCTTTAGTGTCCCTGACTGCGTAGTTTATCCTGTCATCCACCGCCTTCTTGAATTGGTCAGGGGACAGGGTTCGGATCCACTCTGGAGTCTGCTTCTCCACTGCCCAAAACATATTGTGCGCGCGCACAGGAATGCTTGACAGGAACATTGAGGTACATATGTATAATAAACTATTAACTATAAATATAATAGTATATATATAAGAAAAAATGCATCGTACATTGTAGCTCTAATTGATCACTTGATAGTATTGAGCGTTCATACACACACGAACACGCAATTACATCCACACGCACACCAACACACACACACACACACACACACACACACACACACACACACACACACACACACACACACACACACACACACACACACACACACACAACCAATACACACACAAAACCAATACACCCAAAACGTCACACCCGACACGCACACCAGCTCACATACACCAACACTCCACACCAGACATCACGCGCACGCACGCACGCACGCACGCACGCACGCACGCACGCACGCACACACACACACACAGCCCACAGCCCACAACACACAACAACACACACACGTCCACACACACACACCCATGCCAATACACAAGCACATTGAACACAGCCTCATTACAAATGAACACACCCATGCTGCCGCAGGACATTCAGCGCGTGTGTCGCATTACTGTAGTCCGGGTTGTCCTGGAAACAGTGAAGGGAATATCATGTGTCATTGAATGTGCAGTAAATCTTCGTGACTCGAATTCCATCCTTGGTAATGACATTGAAGGTAGCCCTTGCTAAATAAATTGTTTTAATAGCAATGCATAGCATATTTGTAAGATGAATATCAAGAAAGGTTAAGAAGGTAAGAATGATTCAGATGACATAATGGTGCGGTGAGATTGGCCTTAATGCGGGGTGGAGTTAACATGCGATGAAGTATGGGGAGGTCTTGGATGGTAATAGGTGATTATCTTGTGTTAAATATTATGTTGGCATGTACCCTTGGTGGCGGTGAGCTGTGCCAGTAGTAGTTGGACAGGGTGGCCCAGTTGAACATGTAGTAGAACAGATCGTTATAGTGCGTATACTCTGCCATTGTCTGCCAGGTGGTTTGGGATCCGAACGGGCAGGCGTGGCGAGTCAAGTCAATCTGGAATCAACAAAAGTGGCTGAGTTGTGTTTTACGCCGCTTTAACCAACATTCCTAGCAATATATAGGCGGGAGACACCAGAAATGGACTTCACATATTGTACCTATGTTAGGAATAGAACCCGGGCAACCGGTGTAACGAGCGAAAGCGTTAACCCCTAGGTTAGCCAGGCGTCCCTGGAATCAATAATGACTTGTGATGGTGGCGATATCTTGACAGTGCGACTCAGGTGGTATGGTAGAGTTTTTAGTATTGACTTTGACTAGGAATTGTCGTCAGTGTCTGAAACAGCACTCAAAGTAAATCACAGAAAAGATCTTTATCCCTGACTTAATTTTGTACGCGTAGATAAAACACAGCAAACACGTTATCAACATATCTAGACTACCCACAGATTCTCCATCGACGATCGACAGCAACATGGTTGTCTAACTAGCACAATTCTCTGTCATCTCTTGATTCACCTGTATTTCCAAGTCAGCTAGAGATACATGAGGCTGTACGTTCACACTGGAAGGAAATATTGATGAGTGACAGATGTAAGGGAGGTCACTCTAATGCTTGGCTATTCAGGAAGTGACTGTAACCGAGATGTCACGTGTTTGAAATCGCTGGAATGACAGGTGGTGAGTTTTAGAATGTCATGATTCAATCGGATCATTCGGTGTGTATGAGCTGTAATGGTTAGGAAAGTACGTTATGCGGCTATTTGACGTGTCTTCCTCAGTTATATGTTTGAGTTCAAGAGATAAACAACGTTAAACTACAGCCGGCCTTCTCGTCTCTTTTAATAGCTTAAACAGATTGAGCCATTGGATGTCATTCGCTGTTATATATTTCGTATTTTTCGGCTTTGAACATTATTTCATTAAGAATTGTTTGTTTTGTTTTAAGGCCGCCCTCAGCCATATTCCATCATCATCATTGACATCATAAGCTTCGATCAACGCAATTGGGATACGATGACATGCAGTAACCAAGTAACCAACATGCCTGACCACTAGGTCCCGTCAGTCGCCCCTTACGACAAGCACGGGTTGCTGAAAAGCAAGTCTAGCCCGGATCCCCACCAGTCAGTAATGTACGAATTCCAATGGGATACACCGTATACGTTTATGACTATTGTCAAACCCACGACTTCGCGGGTGGTGTTGGTGGAACAGTTATTTTATTGAGGACGCTGAGCCACTCGTGCGCCCAGTTATGGGAGCCAAACAAAGATATTGGCATGTAGTGCAATGTTGAATCATCACAGTAATGTTTTGCTAGTTTAAGACACTGATGAGGGCTAAACTTCATGCTATGAGACTTCCTCGGGTACGTTAACTGGATTACACATCTATTTCACGAAGCACAAAGAACATACTTAAAGTGGATGTTGCTTTTTCTGAGCTGGTCGATCCTCATGTCCGCCTCCGACTTCCAGTTCTTGTTCTCGGGTATTTCCATGAGAGATACGTCGTCAACCAGGAAATTAATTGCAGCGTCTGAACCCCTCACCCTCAGCCTGACTTCTCTAACACCTGTACACAGTTAACATGAACATCTGCAAACATCTCATCGACATTGATATACACCTGCACATAATGTTAACCGATGCAATATCCTATTATTCGCCTGGACATAGTGTTCACATCTTTCTATGCATTAGATCTTTATTTTAAGATTTACCAATACAATATATGTTCATAAACATCGGACGATTCGGTGCACATCTCCCAATGCAATTTCTCTGGATGTAAATTGTATCCAATATCTGACATTATCACATTATTATATCATTAACGACTACCAAACATGATCATGCGATACTAGTATATCATATTTAAATAGGGGCGGTCGGGTAGCCTAGTGGTTAAAGCGTTCGCTCGTCACGCCGAAGACCCGGTTTCGATTCCCGACATGGGTGCAATGTGTGAAGCCCATTTCTGGTGTCCCCCGCTGTGATATTGCTGGAATATTGCTAAAAGTGGCGTAAAACCATACTCACTCACTCACTCATATTAAAATACAATTACACTGACTATCTGGATACAGTGCTTTCTGTATGTAGCTGGTCCTCACAAATAGAATCAATGGTAACCGTTACACAATCAAGGACATCCTCTGAGTGAGTGAGTTTAATTATACGTGTATTGAACGTGTATTTTAGTTATATCACAACGTGTCAACTTGATGTGGTAGAAAAGCCCGAGGTGATGAGGTCTTAGACGTTGAAACTTTGGTGAAACCATGGATCACGGGTGTGTGCTGATAGACCTAGAACCATAGCCATTGTAGACCGGGATTGGAACCTATGGCTATAGGTACAGCTAATAATGACAAAACGTATATTTGACTTCCTCCATGTCCTCCAACCTGTATACGGGTAGAAGAAGAAGCTGTCTAGTGAGGCCCAGCCGGACTTTGTGGAGATGGTCTTGTCAACAGCAATGGTGTCATACAGCCGGGTACCTGCAGGTGGCAGATTACAGAAAAAGTCCAGGCAAGTCTTATTGATATATCATCATCAACCCGTATATAAAATATGCGTGTACACAGCTATGCATTTTGAAGTCGAGAAGAGCCATTATGTACAGGATAAAACACGAGTCCGAGGTTATGCTTAGGATCATAAATTGTATGGTTAAGATTGTAAAGAGAGCTCAGGGAAAGGTGAATTCTTAATTTCCCGAGTTTTCTTCTCGAGAGTTTACAGTCTCGAGCATACCGATGAGGATGGTTTTATTTAACTAACATACCGACACATAACGGAATATGTTGAGAAAATATGTTGAGAAAATATGTCAAATAGCGAAAACAAAAACTTATATTGGCTGGTTTGTCCCCCTTTAATGTCGCATATTCCTTTACAAATATATAAGACAAGCAGTATGTTTTTAAATCAATCAAATACGATTGCACTTTCAGTTAATGATCAATTTACACGAACACATATTTTTTATTACATATCCCAACTAATAGACCGCTTGTTACTTTTTGTTCCCTGTCTGGCACTCAGCATTAAGGGGTTAAAACAAGGACTGGTTTGCTCGGAGTCAGATTTGCACCCCGTCTGAGTGGGGTATTCATGTTAAACTACGGCATGGTATCTCAGTAGGCGAGCCTTTTAAAATCTACATCAGTCAAGACTAGTACAAGCAGCCACACACACACGCGCACGCTCCCGCCACGCATACACATGCATGCTCGTCGCAATATAAGCGCAATAATATCTTGGACGCGACGTTAAACCCCATTTCACCTCAAATCACCAAATAATAATTTTTCATATTTCCAAAACATGACTAAGTCTTCATAAACGTTTACATCTATGTAGAAAGGCCTTGAGTGGCTTAATTAGTACCGAGCTTATAACTGGAATATTGCTGAGTGCGGCGTTAAACAACAAACAAAAACGTACCGAGCTCTGAATCAAGAACGAAATGCCATGTAGTATTTGGGTTCTATTCCCCGGATCGTGAACTTTTTTAAGAAAAGTTAATTCAGGTGTGACAGGATACGACTGTAGTGCAGATAGATATTTGTTAAGACTTACCATAGAAGAGGTTATCAACCTATTTGTAAAAAAACTCTTTCCGCGGAGGTACAGGTTATCTATCATAAAATATATATGAAATACTTACTTCATCCTAGCTAGACCTACATATTATTGTAACATTTATAAAAGAAAAAATACTTCAGCGGAGGTACAGGTTAATATAAGTTTCTAAACAAAAGTTCGGGTGCACATTTTGAACCTTCGGTGACGTCATTCCTCTCTCTCTCCGGGTAATACCTTACATACAATCCCCGAGATATTATATAACGTTCCAGTGATTTCTTCTCATAGACTGTCCGTAAGGCTGCTGGGATTCGAACCCTTACAAATCGAATTACATTTGCTAATGATTCTCAAACAGCTACCTCTTTAGCCACAGAACAGAAATTATATTTGGAGCGTTAATATTAGGTCATGCATTGTATTCGGGAGGCCGTTTATCGTTCACGAAAATGTGTACAAACTCATTACTTCAAAGGAAGTGCAAAGGTCTGTATTACTTGAATAAAACGCTTTCCCTATTTTGACATTTCAAAACCTCGTCAGTCCTAAGATTTATTTCCTCAGATACATGTTTTTAATCTCATGACAACCCTCGGATGTGTTGTTCCTTCACATGCAGGTCATCAGCGGTCCTATGCGATGCCATCAACCTCCGACAACAACGTGACGTCTCAGGCGTATTCTTATATTGAGTTAAACTGAAATTCACATGGGTAGTATTGCAGCCACATTGTGACGACAAAAGGTCATGCATTATATTTGATACATTGGGTGTTAAGCTTGTCGACAATTGACAGTAAAATAACTTGATTATCGCAGATGTTAATTTAATATCTAGTATGTGACCACACACAAATGACTATACAAACCGTGTGTGTGTGTGTCTGTGTGTGTGTGTGTGTGTGTGTGTCTGTCTGTGTCTGTCTGCCTGTATGTCTGTCTGTCTGTGTGTGTGTTTGTGTGCATTGGAAAAATGCATTTGGAGGGGGGGGGGGGGGGGGGGGGGGGGGTCGTAAAAGGGGGGTCAAATGAACAGATCATAAGTTGCATCCACCAACTGCTGGGTACAAAGCACATGGAATGGTGGTGTTCAGTGCCTTCACGTAGAGCGGCATTTGTTGTTCTACTGAATCAGAAACTTTTACGAAAGAAAAACGAACAAAACACAACCGAAATTGAGGAAGGTGAGGGATTGACACACAACATGTATGTAATGGCACGGAACACATTAGTCAAACTCGTAGGCTTGACACGTGTTATGGCCACCGGAAGAATTGTTGTGTCGGTTGGAATATGCACGCGCAGCACGAGCTAACTGTGACTGTGAATTGACTGTGGCAGCGACTGCAGGCGTCAGTAGCCCTTACACCAGCATTGACTCCGTCATCCATATACATGTACATTCATACAATTACAACATATCATATAATTTGTGCGCTGAACAGAAACCCAAATTCTCACCGATCGAGCTTATCTGTCCTGTTTATCTGTCCAGTAGGCTTCGTGAAGAATATCTTACCATTGTCGGTGACGGACTGCATCATTATGGAGTACTCCTGGTACATCTTGTCCGCCAGGTCGTTGAGCTGCTTGATGTGTGCCACGATGTGGTACCGTGTGTTCGGGCCCAATGGAACGACCTGCTCCACTCCAGCCCAGTAGGCCTGACTGCCGAGAGCCACGGGATTTCACAGACACAGGTCAACATAGTGATACAAAGATGTCTGGTTAGGTGTTCTAGAACGTTATCAGTGTTGTGTGTTTTGATTATCATTATTTGTAGAATTTATATGACCTTGAAAACAAGGCAGATTGTATGTGTTGAAGCTCCAAAGGAATATGTAATTTTTTAGTATTGTAGAGATAAGTGAATTAGTTTTGCTCCTGCCTTGGTGAGGATCTTTCAACATTAATTCCCGAGAGACAAATAGTCCGTCTTTTTAGAGTTGCAGAAAAATTGTTCTTTATATTTTTACCCATCGTTTCGTTTTTCTGAGAAAATATAGAACAATTTTGTTTCTTGATCTCAACTGCAGACATTAGCTCAGGAAGTGTGTTGTTGGAAAGACGTCACATAAAATCGTTTGTGACCTCGTGAACAAAAATTTGCGTCATCTTCAAGTATTGGCGACAAAGAAGTCACGTTGGTTTTGGCCTTTAGCAAGCAATGAAAACAATGGAACAATTGGAACGAACTAGCCAATCAGTCTTAAGCAAAAACCAAAATGGTCATTAATAAGTATTGAAAATAATGTGATTTATACCCGTGCCCCATTGGGTAATATTACAAGTTAAAATAATTTTACGCATTATATAGTCCTCCCATGCACATTTGCGTCACGTACCGACTCGAGACTTTGACGGCATGATGACCACCATGTTGGTCAGCAGACGCACTCATTGAGCATCCAGAACATGTCCAACCGGATGTGGGGTTTGATGCTTCGAAACCTGGGTTCTGTAACAGTTCTGTTGTTGCAGATGCATAGCAGAACAGAATACATGACACAGCTATCCAGAGAACCATGTTCTGGGGTCTTGCCTGTTCTAAAATAATTACTACTTATCTCATGTTTGAGAGGTCGGGTTGCAAGATAAGGATAGAGTACTAAACTTTGACACTCTCTTCTCTGATTACCAGGCGCTTAACCTTATTAGCTTGTCCAAAGTGAATATATGAAAGAAAACCGCCTTTCCATATGGCCCTGTCGTGTGTGACGTCCAGTACCGTTCTGTCGATATGGTCTTGAGCTCTGTTCAAACAGGTCCACCTAAGCTAATGAGTCAATTGTATGCATTATGGTTTTCCACATGCCTCTTCAAAGCCGTTATGAAAGGATTTCTGTACATAGTTATCTATATTTAGAAAGCCCGCCATGCACATCGCGTTTTGACTCACATCAAGTACGACCGGAACATTACCTTGCCTTTCTCCTGCTGATCACACAGATACAATTCGCTATTTCATGTGGGGTGGTTAAAGTGTTCGCTCGTCACGCAAAACATATCCGTGTTCGATTTCCCCAATTGGTATCAGGTGCGAAGCCCATTTCTGGTGTTCCACACCCCCCCGTGATATTACTTGAATATAGTGGCGCAAAGCCATACTCATGTTGCACTCAGCAATATTCCAGCTTTATGGCGGCGGTGTGTAAATAATCGAGTCTGGACAAGACAGTCAAGTGACTTCATAAGCATCGATCTGCGCAATTAGGATACGATGACATGCATCAACCAAACCACCGATCCTGACCACCAGATCCTGTTAGTCGCCTCTCACGACAAGCATGCATGGGTTGCTGAAGACTAATTCTAACCCGGATCTTTACGGGTATATGGGGTATAAACATTCGTACCTCTGTCAAAATGAAGAAAATCGAGCCCACACATTCCAGAACCATCAAGAGTGTTAAGTTTCGGGTGGGGTGAAAAAGGGGTTTAACGTCCCGTACAAGATCATTTCATTCATGTATCGAGTGACGTGCATGCACGTGCGTGTGTGTGTGTGTGTGTGTGTGTGTGTGTGTGTGTGTGTGTGTGTGTGTGTGTGTGTGTGTGTGTGTGTGTGTGTGTGTGTGTGTGTGTGTGTGTGTGTGTGTGTGTGTGTGTGTGTGTGTGTGTGTGTGTGTGTGTGTGACTACTTCTAATCGTCCTGACTAATACCAGTTTTATAGAGCTAGCCCACTGAGATACCATGCTTCAGTTAAGCACTGATGCCCCACGCAGACACATTATACTCCGCTTCGTCCAGTCCTTGTTTTTCCCCCTTAATGCCGAGCGCTAGGCAGGTTAACATCAAGTTTCAATATTGCCGCAAGGTGTAGCACACGTCCTTAATAGTACAGTGGGAGCAAAGGCCACAATGATTAGAAAGCCAAATATGTGTAAACACGGTGACACAGACTAATGTTCCAAGGGGACGGCGGAGTTCAGATCGTTACTGCCACCGTGTTAAGTGACCATTAGTTTCCACCGCACTTACACAGATTGGCAAGATACCTCTTTGTTGCAGAAGGTTTTGGTATGAAATGTTAACATTGAAACCTAAACATCAAACTACGATACCATACAAATATAACGGACAAAATCAGATGTTCTCATATATAAGTGTACTTGTATTTTGGTATTCATGGGGGTAAAATGCCACTCTTGTTACAACTGGCGCACGTCGATAACGGGGCCACAACCACATTAACCAGCAAAAGTATATCTGTTTGAATCTGTATGTATTTTTCGCCGCCTAACGTATTGCGACATACTTTTTAAATCCCACTGCAAAATGACGAGCAGGAGAAAGTGGCTGTCCTCATTTAGGTCGTTGCTTTATGGTAGTTTAAAATGTAAGTGAGCGCAAGTACCTCGAGCTCGTGTTTCCACTGCAAGGAAAGGAGAATAATATATTTGAGTAATTAATATGTAGATGTTTTTTTTCAGTGAGAGACTTTGTTGTTGAATATATTGTGTATGACGGATTTAGTAGGTGGGAGTTGTACTATGGCAGTTTTGTGTTTGTAGGTTTGCAGATTCCTCTCTGCCATTTTTAAATTTTAAATGAAGAGATTCGCAATACTGAATAGTTACCATATGCCGAGAACATGTACACAGTAATTATTATCTGCCATGTCGTTTGACAACCGTTTATAACTGATATTGTTTGTTATATTAACCGTTAAAGGGATCTAATGTGGATGTTGTAAAAATGTCATTAAAAAGTACCATCTGAAGTAAAAAAGCATGCTACAGACCCTTAAGTTGGATACCAAACAGAACAATGTGCAGTCACAGCCGAATTCATACAACTGTTGATCTGCATTTCTTGTTATTTAATTTAGCCAACGACATGCATTTACATATATGTCATATAAAGTTGGGTTTCGTGTCTTGTATAAAATGGATAATTAAAGAATATATTCCGACAGGTTTTTTTATATAATTACAGATATGTCCAATTCATTCAATGAAAACAGTACACAACGACAAGTAATGCGAGATTTTGTATTGGCAAATTGCTATCAGTGTGCACGACAGCATGTGACATAGGCCACGACGCCCATCTCGTTGTACAGTCTCTGAGCTCCGTTCACAGCGATACACTGCTCGGGATTGCCTGAAACAAACAATGTATTAATGTAAAACCTGAGGTAAAAAATATTTTTTGCATTTACGGGAACATTTTGTTTAAGTCACAGCAGCGGTCGGTCAAAATCAGCACAAAAGTCATCAAGATATGGCACAATATACCTCCTGTATACGCCCCTCCAAGCTTTGCATCCTCTGAATAGGCCGAACACCCGACGAGCTGCCAGCCCTGGTCACATGACACCCCTGTCTGATCCCCCAAGTTGTTGCCAGAGGGGCTGGAGGTCTTCACGATACACGTGAGATGGGGCGCAGAGCAACAGACAGCAGACGCCTCCACCTCTGAACAGACAAAGGAAGATAAAGTTTCGTATACTAGAATTGATTTCTGAATGTGTCTATTTGTGTTACATTGTTAATAAACTTCATATAGGACCAACTCCAAACACAATAGAGTATTTGATAAATACATACATGTCGCTTATTGTGAGGATGTAAGATCAGATGTATCACCAGAAAAAGCATCACTTACTGCCGTGGTTTTCAGAGTTCTGGGCGATGCAGGAGTGCGTAGTTGGGAAGGCTCCGTCCAGGAATGAAAACCAGGAATGGGCTGAACAACCTGAAGACAGGAAACAACTCACAGTATGGTTGACCAGGAAATCGGGGTAATTCACCTAACTAACGAAGCTACTAACAATTCAATAGTGATATGTGATTATGGCACATATATTCAAACGCCTCACCTGTAGCTACCATGTTGTTCTGACATCTTGTTTCAATCCTCTGGTTTAATACGTCCTGTGAAGGCCCTGACTTCCGGTAGTCACAATGGAGTCCCGTCAGTTTACAACATCTCGCCACCGCCTGTGCCGCTGCAATCAAGTCGCACATACGTGTATAGGTATTCATGATGTAACACTACCATATACGGTAACCTCATCTGATGGCTGTCTGAAGAATGAAGTGAACTGTCTTCTTGAATTTGATAGCTTGATACTGAGGTGTTTAAGTACTTCTTTACTCACGTGCTGTGGTGCCCGTTCCGTCGTAAACCTGGCATTTAGCGACGCCGCCCACCACACTGATTGTCTCGCCGTCCCGTGTGTCATGACCATTCTGTATAGACAATCACACAGGTAGCTGTTCATTATGATCACATTGTCTAAAGGCAACGGTGTTACTCCTTTCCTCCGTTCAAATAAGAGTGAGTGCTTGCGTTTGGTTCAACACAGATTGGAACAGTATTTCACTGTTTTCATGCTGTTTCAGCTCGATATTGGAGGAGAACCTAATGTGATGTAGATCTCAGATGTTTGTCACTTTGGTGAAAACCACGAGCACGGGTATGCTGTAGACAAACCAAGAAACAGTCAGTGCGAACTGGGAATCGAACCCAACTTTCTGGCACCCCTCAAACTGCCGCACTATAGGTGTTTGGGCCACCCGTACACAGCCAAATGTCGCTTATAATCATATAATCTGAAGGCAACAGTGTAACTCTTTTCCACCTTTCAAATAGAATATGCTCACTGTCATTTAAGTGACGAGGTCGGTTTGTTATTTCTGTGGGGAAGTTAGCAACCAGGTCCCTGTTCAACAAAGCGATCTTATCACTTAGGTCATCGTGATTCCAATCCTTCCAATACGTTGGCTTGCCACAGTCGTAAAGCTGAGATTGCTTGTGGTACTAACCCTCAAAGAAATCTTACCAGTCCGACTGTCGTAAAGCTGAGATTGCTTGTGGTACTAACCCTCAAAGATATCTTACCAGTCCGACTGTCGTAAAGCTGAGATTGCTTGTGGTACTAACCCTCAAATATATCTTACCAGTACGACTGTCGAAAAGCTGAGATTGCTTTGTGGTATCAACCCTCAAAGATATCTTACCACTGCGACTGTCGTAAAGTATGAGATTTTCGATCGCCTTAGCGTTCAGGCTGACTTAGCGCTACTACTGTCGTAAGTCAGTGTTAAGGGATGGGATTAACGATCACCTTAGCGCTAAATCGCTTTGTACAACGTCACCCTGATCATTGTGCAACAGTTCTCTGTTCTGTAATGTACAACTGGTACCTTTATTTTCCCTGAGCACCCAGTCAGAACATATCCTGATGGACAGGACACTTCGGCCTCCTTATCATCTCCAACTTCAGTGAATCCCGAGTATCTAGACATACACGTCAACTGATTGGATGAGCCTGAGGTCATGTGACCCACTGTATATTCGCCAATGTGAGCGACCGGATGCTGTACTGTAACTGGATGGTCGACCGGCGACTGTGTTGTCTGGATCTGAATGACGTCTGTTGGCACAAAGATATATAGAGTGTATGTAAGTGAGTTCGAATTTGTTACACATTTAGAACAAATATTGCTTCCAACCAGGCTATCAATACCCGATTTCCCTTTCAAAAAATAAACGTGCGTGCTTTAGTGGTAAATCCTAAAATTTAGCATCACTGTTCGGCTCAGAGGAAGAATGACTCCCATGGAATTGTGCAAGTTGCAGGTAAAATTCTTCTTGATAGTTTTTCGTCTTTTTCCTTAACTAGTGAAGAAAATGCCAGAAACACCTACGATTAACGTTGGTGATCTGGATGTCAACTTGTTTGTCCTGTTTCCCGAGGGTGAAAGTCTGCTGCATCACCGGGTTGCCATGGTATTTGACGACCACTCTGTAGTCTCCATGGAAACCGCGGACATTAAACTGTGTCCCTGATGACACCCTGTGTGAGACATGCGTACTCCATTCTTTGTAGAGGAGGTCGAAGTATCTCTTTCCTGCTGCATTAATCTTGAGAGACATATATGTTTAGGGTGATGAAAGGGTATAGTTAACTTTGCACATCATACTCATTTTCGGCGTTCCATAAATTGTGGACATTTGCATTATTGTCAGATCTTTCCAGGTACTTAATATTCCCAACCATATGTGTTTGTTTGGAAATGTTTATTCACAACAATTATTTTTATGAGAAGATTTGTCACTCATTGAGAATGTCATTACCAACGAATTGCTTGAGTTTAGACAATTCAGTTTAGGAAATATCAACTGTGACCGCAAATCAGGAAACAATAAAGACTAACTTGTATTAACATTGTTATTGCATTGTTATTCGAAAGATTTAGACAACAAAATGTCCATCTCAAACCCAAATGCCCCTCTTGAAAATCGAATGGTTGCTCGATGATTCCTAGAAAACAAGTGATGTCTTACTAACAAATATAGCTACCGACTTCTCACGAATTTCATTAACGATAGATAATTTTATAATTGATACATGCTCGTCACAATTCATAATTTGATGTAAAACATTTGCAGTGAATATGTTTCACTGGTACGATTATTGAAATGTGGGGAACACATACCTGAAAATTATTGCCGGACACAAGAGCTGCATCTGGACCTCTCCAGTGATCTGGGCCCCAGAACCCCCACAGAATGATGCCCTCAACAGCTGGATGACTGAAGAGAACGCGAAGAGCGGTTTCATACCAGTCAGCTCGAGTGTTCTCGTCGTGGGTCCATAGATCCAGCTCTGTCACCCAGATCGGCAATCCTGCTGTAGCAAGCTGATCCAAACGTTTCTACGCAAAATCGAAGTACCTTGGATTGACAGAGTATTGTGCTGGTGTTAATGGATCCATACCACAATCTACTGTGACTGCATGGTGGACTGGGTGAGGGGAACTTTAGGTGGAGACTGGGTGTTCTTTCTTGCCCAAGTGATATAAAGTAATACAATGTACAAATGATAGTTGTATTGGATACCCATGTTAACAAAATGCATCTGGATCTTTGGTCCTTCATGGAAATATATATATTAAACGTTCTGATGTATTCCCTTAAAGAGTGTGGGCCTGGTTTTTAATCGTTACCTTAATGAGCGTTGGATCTGGTGCAGAGTCTTTACCGAAGTGGCACTGAATGCCAATACCGTACAAGCCAACATTGGCAGCCTTGAACTCCTTTGCCTCAGTCAGGTAAGCCTGTAAATATACACACATCTAGAGAGTAGTACTGACTGAGTTCTAAATGATGAGCATTGATTAGTAAGTTCTCTGCACGCTTCTCAAGTTGTCTATTTTCCAAAGGTCAAAGAACCCTGCTTATTTTACTGACTTGTCACAGCGAAACAATTTCTGATTTGACTAGTAACTATGGATATACCTATATGGTTTTACGAACTGTAGACTTGTGCCTTCTTGAACACAAGATGTTATGAATGGGATTTGAGGTCGGAAATGGACTCGTATACATCATCCACTTTCAAGTTGTTAAACAATTATTTTAGTATTACCGATGTTGCCGTTCCTGCAGACACGACACTATAGTCGTTGAGGAACAACTTGACGCTGGGATCAGCCTGGTGAACCTTGGCGAATATCTTCTTGGTGTAGTCAGGGTCTCCTGTCTTGTCCTCGAACCAGTGGCCATGGACAAGTTCATTGTTGACATCCCAATGTTGGACTCTGAAGATAGTAGGGGTCACATTCAGGACCATCGCAACCTCACCTAGTCGTCGGACGTCACAGACATCCATATTTTAGACTGTTGATAGACGGTGTCACAATCATAATCATCGTAACACGTACTTCCCCTTGGTGTCCTTGACGATGTACTGTATCCTTTCATCCACTGCCTGCTTCACCTGGTCGGGACTCAGAGCCTGCACCCAGTCGGGCGTGTACTTCGTATTAGCACCCCAGAATATGTTATGTGCTCGTACAGGAACGCTTCAAGGGAATTGAAAATAATCACAAACAGGCTGGAATATTAAGTCAGTTCTCTTTAAAATGAGTGGGTGAGTTAGTATGTTACACATTATGTCAACTTAATCACGGCGCATCATGCATGAGAGGGAGAATAGCTTATAAACGTCGATCACCTTGGTGAAACCCACGAGGCATTTGGTGCAGACAAACCAAATTTCATAATAAGGACAGATATGCGATTTGATCACACGATCAGCGGATGTTTTCACTTTTAAAGACCATAACTCTGAATAAAAAATAGTTTTACCGTTCCCCAAGTTCTCCTTCGTCTTCGTCTTCACTTATATACTGAACCAAATTAAAAACTTCACAATCCTAAAATTTTAACATTTTGACCAGTTATCATTGTGGGCCCTTATTGTGTATTTAAACAGTAATGGCCACGTATTGTCCTCAGATAACACCCGTTTTTGTTCAGGTGAATCGATCAAAATCATGTGCACAGCACTAAAGTGGCAAAAGTGGTTTTTCACGTGCATCTGGCAACGTGGCCATAATACCGCACGTGTTTTCAGCCATACCTGTTAGCAGTCATTAACAGATGAAAAACACAAGAAAACAAAAGTCTTTACGGCCATTTGTCATGCCACGCCTTTCAAATGTGCAACGTGAACGTGCCATCGGCATGTTGCAGACGGGAACGTCCGTAGCTGAAGTCGCAAGGACGATGGGTTGTAGTCGACGGACTGTTTATGATTTACAGACGCGTCTACAGCAAACGGGTGCCACCGCTGATCGCCCTCGGCCAGGTCGACCACGTGTGACGTCACATGCAGAGGATCGTCAGATTGTCTTACGTCACCTCCGTAACCGATTTTTGACGGCTACATCAACCAGAAATGAACTGTTTAGGGGTAAACTGACTGCGCAAACTGTTCGAAACCGTCTGAGAACTGCACACCTTCAAGCACGACGGCCATACTGCGGGCCGATTCTGACTCAATTACACAGACGTCAACGTCAATTGTGGGCACAGCGACACTTACGATGGACTCAGAGGAATTGGAATCAAGTCGTCTTCAGTGAATCCCGATTTAATCTTCGATTTGCTGATGGTAGGGCGAGGTTGTGGAGGTGCCGTCGTGAACGTTACGCCCAGTGTTGTGTACAGGAAGGGCGACAGATTTCGAGGCGGAAGTGTCGTGGTGTGGGATGCTTTCTGTGGCAATGCACGTTCCAGGCTTCTTGTCATCCGTGGCAACCTCAACGCTGCTGCTTACCGCGACCAGGTACTGGCACCAGAACTTCTGCCTTTTATGGCAGCACATGGACCCGGTTTGATCTTCCAACACGACAATGCCAGACCCCACACATCAATTTTGACAAGGAATTTCCTTCAGAATGCGGGACTCAACGTCATGGACTGGCCGTCAAGGTCTCCCGACCTCAATCCCACCGTACACGTCTGGGATGCTCTTGGCAGAAGTCTGCGCACTCTCCAGAACCAATCACAGAATTTGCAAGATCTTGGCACCATTTTGCAGCAACAATGGCGTCGTCTTCCCAATCATGTGTTCACAAGCATCACAAGGTCGATGCGTTGGCGTTGTGTGGCAGTTGTCAACGCACATGGCGGCCATACACGCTACTGAACTTGTGTGCCATCAGGTTCTCGTGCTTGGGACTTATGATTTAAACTGTTGATGTTATTACCGAATACCGTAGGTGCTTGGAACAAATTATGGTTACCACCGTTAATTAAAATCCTTCTTTGGACATTAATGATTAAAAATTACCTTCTCTGATACATTTGTCCGTTGTATATCATATATGGGATTACTTTTAAAATGTGAAATTTTTAATTTGACCCAGTATATCTTATACATTACAAATTAAAAAACACCCATCTACATACTTGGCCTTGGCTGCGATTGTTACAAACTACAATTTGTATTTTTTTTCTTGCTATGTTTACGTAAGCAACAGCCAATAATATTCAATTTCGTTGTAAGCATAATTGGGTAAGCGAATGTGCTTTCTTAACACAACTGTGTCATTCGTAAGATAAATCCTGGAACCTGGGTCAGGGATGACACACTCAGGGCACATCTCATAACCATCCGATGCTCATTTTATTTGTTCACGAACACCCGGTGTCATCCATCCATATCATTTTCACCGCTGTTTTCCTTTTATGCCCATTTTAAAGCAGCCAGATATCTAAGAGAGGTGGCTGAAAGGTTCTCCGCCTAACGTGGATGGACTGCGTTGGTTGCTAATTTCTTTGCAACATAATCCCTTTTAAGGTGTAGTTGTACAGTACATGACAGTGACGTCACATCCTCTGGCCAATAAAATGCTCTTACTTGTGTCATTCACCTACCTCACTAAATGGTAGATATGTAGATAATAATGTATCACTCTGAATACCCATGGTCACTTCCACATTCCTTATTCATTTTCCAACTGCTCTGGACAGAATGTAAGTGACATTCAACGCTATACTGGGTAAATTGGCGTCAGATGTAGTCACGTGACATCACAATATTCCCTAGCATCAAAACGAAAGTTAACTGTTAAGTTCAGTAAATGCTAAAGATTTTCTATTCTAAATTCTCACAGATGCTTGTGCCAGCCATGTTATGTTGATGTCAATGCAAAGCAAATGTTGATGAAGGTACATCAGCATTGTTTTGTTCAATCACAATGCATCACATGTCTGGATGCAAAGATTAACTGTCAAAATATGGTAAGAATATACTAGTATTGCAGCCTAACAAGACCTTATTTCTTATCAAATATCAAAGATTCAACTTGAAAGAAACGTTACATTTTTCAGGAAAAATCAAAAATATCCGGGACATGCTTGACTCAGTCTATTGTCGGACAGCTGAGAGTGTCGTCTGCTATATCTCTGCTGGATGGTTCAGAGCGAGGAACAGATATCAATGAGAATATCCAGCCTCGTGTAGGCAGGGTGGTGTAGAGGCGCTTCCATAGCGGAAACGACGTCATCATTTGCATATATGCTTGGTGCCTGTAGAAATATGCTGCCTGGCTGTGAATTAGTTTCAAAAGCAGCCTTAACGCATGGACAGTACTGTACTTACAACATACAAACTGATAAGGATGTACGGTACATCCTTCGTAGTTAGGCTCAGAACCTTTCAGCCACCCCTCGTATGTATAAGAGTGCCCTACCCATGCTGGTGGAGGACATTCAACTCGGCAGTGGCCTTGCTGTAGTCAGGGTTATGCTGCGAGAAAACAAACCATTTCAGCAGTGATAACTCAGTGAAATTACCCAATACAAGTCTCTTCATGGAGCCCTATTTGGGAGCTAGAATGGTTTGACACTGTTTTTTTGTAGACATCAAGCCATATCAGGATAGGGGATACCAGAAATGGGCTACACACATTATACTCATTCAGGGAATCCAAACGAAATAGCAGAATGATAACAGACGTTAATACATCAAAATATGATACTTGCTTTTGTCGTATTCTTGTTGAACCTAGTTCTGGAAATGACAAAGGGATAGTAGTTATCTAGTATACTGACCATGGTGACTCTGAATGCAATGTAAACTAAAGATTGAGAAAGAATTAGGGCGTACCCGAGGTGGGGGCGACCACTCCCAATAGTAGTTGCTGAGGGTGGCCCAGTTGAACATGTAGTAGAACAGTTTGGCATACTGTGGATGCTGTGTCATCACTTCCCACGTGGTCTGAGAGCCGATAGGATATCCGTGTTTCTCCAGGTCTACCTGAATAAGAATGTATGAGTGATTATTTTTAACGCAAGTTTCAGCAATACATCTAGCAGTATGAGGCTTCAAGCTGACGAGGGAACGCTTTGACCACTTGGCTCCCCCTCCGCCCACTTGAAAAAGACGGACGTTACGGACCCACCGGACGAATATACGGGACTCAACGAGATTTAAGTGTCTGCTGTTATATCAGATATTCCCTATTCATAATTAAGAATGAAGATTGTGTGGCACCCACAGCTTTGGGCTTATATTCAGCAAAATCTTTCGACTTCATTATATCCTTTGACATAAGGAGTTCATCCATAATAACACGTACGTACGTTTAAGAGTGGAGAGGGTTGACATCAGTAGATTTTAGTACTTACCATGGTGAACAATGTACGGTAAATTCGTGAGTAGTGGTTTTGAGTTTATCACTTCCATTTTGTTGTGACTCCGTTATTTGTTATAGAGACACTAACTTAAGCAGTGAATTAGGCTGTGACTAAGGCGGTAGCTGTGGATCACCCGTACGTACGTCAATCTCCAGATCAGCTGTTGACACGTGTGTTGGTACATGGACACTGCAACCAACACATTCCGATTTAAATGCAGGATATATGACTTAATACGCACGCACTCCCTCCCTCACACAGAGGTAGTCCTTGTTTGTGTTACCGTTGAATATATCTACCAGTTACATAATGAAAGTATTGTATCCAGATAAAGATGGCATCTAAATGTGACTTTTCGCATGATAGTCATGCGTGTTTATCGTTATGGCGTTTAACATCGTGTATACAGTTAACATCGAGAAATATTGTATTGTTAGACATGCAATAAATAATCCGATGTTTACCAAGATACTTTCAAGGCCGCATTCAACCAAACTCACTCACTCTTTCACTCACTCACTCACTCTATCACTCACTCACTCACTCACTGAGAAGAAGTAGTGCAATGATGCATACACGTTTACAATGACCCGTGCCCCCCAGAGCTTACTTAAAGTGGATGTTGTTCTTCCTTAGCTGGTCGATCCTCTTGCCCGCAGCCGACTTCCAGTTCCGGTCCTCGGGTATTTCCGTGAGTGACATGTAATCCACATTGAAGTTAATGGCCGGGACTGGCCCATTTACCCTCAACGTCACACTCTTGTAATCTAAACAAGAAGCAATTGAAGGTACACGTCATACATGTATAATACACACAAAAACAAGTTAAGGATCACCCTATTCTTTCATATTACGATAGTTAATTTGGCATGGTAATATATATTACATCCATTGTCAACGGTTGTTACAAAAAGTATGTCTCTAAGCAGACTGACATATTAGAACTATTACTATTCGACGAGAGATTCAGATCGCACCATTCGCAAATTACTGACCTGAGTTAAAAAATTGGAAGTACGAAGACAATTCGATCCATCCTGATTTGGTGTACACAGAGTTGTTTTCCAGGATTATAGAATAATCGTGGGAACCTGGAAACAAAATTAAGATAAATTTAGCAAATGGCATTGGGGCATGCTAACTATGTGGTGACAATATAGTATATGCTGTCAGTATTTATTTTACTTTTCCATACCCAGTGTCTCAGTGGAGTAACAAAATACTATTCTTACTGGATCTTAACTATTTCAAATTTGTATTGTCGCCACGGCTGCATTTCATAAAGAATGACTAATCTATGTATTCATGTGTAAGTCAGTACCATTCGATACAATTCAGTGACTAGAAAATTGTTAACGGTAATTTGTTTTCGGTTTGGTTCTTGAGGCAACAATCTCTGTCCAATCATCTACTGCGTTATTGCCGGAATACTGCTTAAAGTGAGTCAACTGTTCATCTTCCCGAGGGAAGGGAGTTAACATACTATGAAAGTCAAGTTTCCACCCTTGCCGAGCTAAGCTGGAATTTCTGGGCTCCTTCGTAGTGCCACCAGTGGTTAATTACGAGTTTTGCCGATTCTATGTCCCTCCTAATGACCAAACAGATTCCACCTCTCATATCCCTTGCATTTGCTTCAAACAAAATGGCGGTGCCCAATGAAGACAATATGATCAATGATCAAAATCTATATTGTGATAAAATGGGTCATTCTTCGCGAAGTGCATCAAATCATGTGAGCACCTTGATTAAACACATGAAACGATTTGGGAAATATCTGTTGAGTTTGCGGCACACATGTTTTGCAAAACCTGCAATCGACCGAAATCTGAACGGCAGTTTACGAACAGGTTGTCTATTTCGTAACTCGATTTTGATTGGATTATGCATGGACTCGTTTGTCTAGACAAAATTCCATAATTCCAGCCAAGTTCAACAAGGGTCGATACTGGACTTTTATAGTCAATCAACTCTCTTGCCTCGGGAAGATGTCAATTGTTATATTTAATGTCATTGTACCGCTTCTGATATTCACCGCTATTTTTCTCAATATCAGCAAGAATTGTGTATTTCTGGAAAAGTGTCCCGTGAATATCATTCAGTTGTTTGATGTGGGCTTGGATAAAGTAGCGGGTGCCACTCTTGAGGTACACTGTCTGCTGAGGACCCGCCCAATCCGCCTGTCTAAAAGTGAGAAAATCACCATCAAGTAATGACATGTTTCAAAGTATGTTTACAATAATGGATTGATAGAATGGGCCATCGAAATAGCCGTAATATATTACACGTTATTCAACCTTGATATTTTACTTATAATTACTAATAGTTACAAAGGACAAATAGCAAACACGCCCATTCCACTAACCTTCCGGTGATTTTGACGGAGTGTTGACCTTGACTGTGATCAGTGCTGATGTCCATTTTACAACCGGCACATATCCAGTTGGAGGACGGGTTGGAACCCTCAAATCCAGGGTCCTTGAACATCTCTGCCATTCCTACCCCAATCAGCAGGGTGGGGGCGAGTATACACGCCAGCAGCCGGCACGACGCAGACATGACTGTTGACCACACTGATCCCGACTGGGTGACAGTTTAACAGATTGTCCTGGTATAAAACTAACGACACCTTAACACTGATAAGATAACAGTGTTAACAACTAGAACTGGTTGGAATGATAAAAATTGAGTGTCGCGGCACTATACTATTAGGTTAAATCACTGAAGTTGCAAAACGTTACCGATAATCCTGTAGTTACAGATACAGTATTGTGTAGTTAGGTTGCAATATAGGTTGCAATTTATTACATTGACTCTGTGGAGTTAAACAGAATAAAATCCAAATCGTGTAATTTTGACAATTAATCCAAGACTGATGCATTAAATATCACATCACGATCTTGAATCTTGGTGACACTTGAAACTGACACACTATTCTTATCAAGATACAATGTTCACCTTGACGGGGAAAGAATACAGGCGACATTTTTACGATTACAATTTAGCATTAATTCTTTAAGAGAGAAACTAAATATACTGAACAACAAAAGTTCCCGTGACATTGAATAAGATTTAATGCAAAGTTATGTTTTTTACCAAATCTGAAACAATTTCGGTTTGCAACAGATAAAAGACAAATGTAAGTGTTCAAATGGTTTAATTTGCCATACTGACTTCAGAAGATGCGTGATTTCATTAAAAAAAACATGAATAGCCAAAATGTCAATTTACAAATCAAAAGCGTGTGTGTCCACCTCTGGTTGCGATGCAAGCAACACATCTTCGTCTCATGGTATGGACCAGGCGTCGCTCAAAGTCCTGTGGGATATCTGTTCATATCTGATGGAGCATGTTCCTGGACTGTCTGTGGAACACGTGGTTGACGTCGAAGGCGCCGATCCATCTCATCCCACATGTGCTCGATTGGTGAGAGATCAGGGGAGCGAGCCGGCAAGGGGATGACATTCACGTTGTTTTGTTGAAGAGAATCCCGAACAAGTCGAGCAATGTGAGGCCGGGCCGTGTCATGTTGAAAGGTAATGCCTGGGCCATGACGACGCAAAAACGGTAGAACACCAGGGCCGATGATCTCGTCGCGGTAGCGCTGTCCATTGAGATTTCTCTCTATCACTATCAAACGGGTCCTCTGTCTTGCTGTAATCCCACCCCATACTATAACGCTGCCGCCCCCGAGCCGATCTTCTTTCACGACACAATGATTGAAGTAACGTTCACCTCGACGTCGGTACACTCGAATCCGTCCATCGTTGTGGCTGAGGTGAAAACGAAACTCGTCAGTGAATAGAGCTTGTCCCCACTACATGGCCGTCCAGCGTAGACGCTGTCTGCACCACTGTAGACGTGCTTGACGGTGGTTTCCTGTCAATATGGGACGTCTGGCGGGTCTTCTGGCGACAATCCCTGCACATCTGAGGCGACGACGTACGGTTTGTGAAGATATTCGTCGAAGGCCAGGGATGGTTCTTGCAGTCACTGTTGCTGGCTGGAATCGATTTCGTAGGTGTGTTGTTCGAATCCAGTTGTCTTGTCGATTATTGGTTACGCGTGGCCTGCCACTCCGAGGATGGTCTCTGACTGCATTCGTCTGTTGCCAACGTTGCCATAAACACCAACATGGTGTTTCTGTGGCCGTTAAATTGTCTTGCAACATCACGTTGACTCGATCCTGCTTCAGGCATACCAATGGCTCGCAGACGCTCATTTTCGGACAGGCGTGTCATTTCGTAAATTTAATGTTGAATAATTGCGTAATTTTGTTGTTTTTCTGAGTGGTTGTTGTCGGCACGATGCAAAACAATGCATATAGAATCCCGTTAACGCACATGTTTTTTTATACCCATTTTTGGGTAGTGAAATGCATGGGGCTTGCATACAAGTCAACTTTTGCATGGAATGCATGCTTTTATTGTAGCAGTTGCGTTTTTGTGACTTGATTCCATACATGTACTACAATATTGAAAACCAAACTTTACTTGTTTGAAAAATACACTAAAATATTGGTGTCACAGGAGCTTTTGTTGTTGAGTATGTGTATCATACTCTACCACGGTTTTTAAGGTGAACAAGTGATGCATTGCCTGTGCATGTGTTTGTGACGGGTACCACCAGTGGAGTAGGATAGGCTTACCGTTTCGCGAACACCTGGTATGATCACTATCTGATAATGATTCACAAACATCTACTTATGATATAGTCACATTCGTAAAATTTAGTTTGCTTTTAGCAGATATTTCTTATGATTGTGGAAATGTTTTGGTCTGTTTTATCATTCAATAACGACAAATTGCGTGAATAATGTATACTGGCAGATGCAGAGTAATATTGGTATTGGAACCAGGAAATGTTAATTATATTGGTTGCATCCATGGTAGTTCTGGTATTAACGCGTTAACTCAATCTTCTTCAGTTATTTGTACATGATGATATCCATACAAAATGAAACACAGTGAAGTTTGTGAGTTTTATTCTCATAACTGTGTGCGGCAACAGGTGGCGTAGGCTTCGGCCCCCATCTCCCCGTACAGTCTCTCGGCTCCATTCACTGCCTCACACAGTTCCGGGTTACCTGCAAGAACATTACCTTGGACTGTCTGCATTACAAGTCAGTGGTACCACCAACAATGTTACACAGTCCTAAGCCTACAGTTCAAAACGGGAGTATTTGTGATATTAATGTGATAGATTATTAATATTCTTTGAAGTATATTTCGGCATTACATTTATGTAATATTATAAAGGAACATTCAAATACATGTTCCAATATGTTTATAAATAAAAAATTTGTGCGTCATCATAAAAGTGAATGTTTTTCGGTAAATTGACTTCTTATGTGCATTCATTGAAAGGTCATGGACCCATAATACAATTATCATACAAGTAATATAATGAAGTTAACAATCAACCCACATCATTATCATATCTATATGTAAAAAATGTTTCTCAGTTTCTAAACGTTATAAAAAGCTAACACTAATGTAGGGATGTTTGGAATAAAACGCTTTGTTGGAGGCGGTTTCGAAGGTTTTAAAGTTCACTGAAATGTAGTGCAATGCCGTGTACCTCTTATATAGGCCCCACTCAGTTTAGCATCCTCTGAGTAGGCTGAGCATCCCACGAGGTGCCAGCCAGAGTCACATGACACAGACGTTGTGTCCCCCAACTTGTGACCCGAGGGAGGGGAGACCTTCACGCGGCACGTGAGATAAGGGGCCGAGCAACACACTGCCGAGGACTGCAACCCTGCAGAGTAGTATATGGAAGAGATTGGAGGGATCAGTTCCATCCAATATAGAATATGTACATCTATGTGAAAAAATTATTCATTTAGTTAAATATTACGTTTATGTGGCTTACGACCAGACTGGGTCAACTTATTCATAATTGCTATATATTATACTACAATGTCGACATACTTACCTCCTTTGTTTTCAAAATTCTGAGCAATACAGGAATGTGCTGATGGGAAGGTTCCGTCAGATAACCGGAAGAAGGTGTGCGCAGCACAACCTGATATGGGAGAGGTACAGACACTTTAAAGTGCTCTTGAGGTGTAAATGTTGCTGATATTCCTGGCCTTATTAAATCAGTTTGAGTCGGTGATTGTTGTCTCTATTCCTTATTAACGTAAGACTCACACGTCAAAGATGACAACATACATCCTCTGGATTCTTGCTGTATGTACGACATTTGGGATTGTTTATGTAAACTCTAACACTAACACTTTAAACTTAGGCACCGATAATTGGGGGTAACGACATTTATCACTCGAGACGTCACCCCAGTGTCCCGCATTGTGGCCATTGACGTAGCCTCTTGTTGAACAATATGTCTCCCTACTGCGCCCCTTCTATTAAGACCATGAACGAATCCTGTCTGTTTGCATTTTGCTGCAGCCTCAGGATTTATTGGATTATAAGTGAATACTGAATGCATGAATTTGAAGGATTAGAGTGGAAACGTTATTTTGTAGAGAATCGTAAGATTTCAACATATTCATGGGTGAAGTACTTACCAAAGTTACCAAAAACACCTATGTACTTTTATTTCACAGGATATTGAGACAAGCTCTGTCTTACCAGTGGCATACATGTTGTTCTGACACCTAGTCTCAATTCTCTGGCCGAGGACATCCAATGAAGGTCCGGACGTCCTGTATTCACACTTGAGACCCGTCAACATGCAACATCTTGCCACCGCCTGGAGAGCTGTGAGAGAGACAAGCAACGTACCCAGAGAGACGACAAACAGTTGAGTCATAGCCAAATGAAACGAGTTTGGGTTGGCAGGCTCAGCATTTGTATACATTTTTTTTTATCATTCGAGTACCTCCATACCGGAATTGTGAGATCCGTTCGTACAGAAGATATAGTAGACAGAAAATCACTGGAACGAAACATCTTTTTCTTCTTAAAATTCATCCCAGTTGAGACAGGGTCACCAAAGATCGATCTCCATTACCTCAAATCTCATTAAAATCTGATCTTAGTTCTCGCTATCGCTAAACAAACATCTGAGGACATCCCATAACTGGTCACGTCAGAACGACCTTTCATCTGACCAATCAAAGCGTCGCTTACCAGATCATGAAAGTGACAGTCGGAATGTGTTTTCTAATCATGCAACCTCGATTCCGAACGAAAATTACGGCATGTACGACTGATTCCGTCTACCTCTCGCTACCGTGCGATATACATTTGAACGGAGGAGGCGTTGCACAGTACGTGGGAAGCACTGCCATACAATATCAACCATATATAAGACATTTTGGAATGTTCGTTTGTTTAGTTTTGAACATTTTAATCGAGAACTGTGTCAGCATATTTTTCAAGCGTTGTCTGAAATGGAATTCGCCAGGTTGGAACGAGTGGTCGGTCAAAGTTCGCAAAAGGTCGTTCTGACGTGACCCGTAATGGGGTGTCCTCGGATCTTATAACCTAGATCTGATTTAAATGAGATTGTATTACCTCAAGCTTGTCGCAAGAGTCAATTTGGCATTGAGTAAAAATATGATTGAGTTTGTGAGTGATGTTCATAATAGCACATGTTTCAGGCGTTTTAAACACTTTTGAAAGCATGTTTACTATAAAGAGGTATCAGA